CAGACAGCGCCTGCACTCCACACCCAGGCCTGGGGGGACGAAGGGAACGAAACCCAGGAACTCTGGGGTGGACGGGTGCGACTCCTGAGGTTCCGAGCGGCCAGAGGAGCCAGCGGCCACGGCCACAGTACCGCTGAGGGCCAAGGGCGAACGTGGTCCTGTGGGCCCCGGCAGCTCTGGGTCCTGCTGGGCCACGCACAAGAGCGAGATCACGGCTGCAGGGCAGGCCCGGCGCCCGGTGTGCAGTGTGTTCCCCGTCACCATCACCATCCCCGGCAGGGCAGGCCTGGTGTGCAGTGTGTTCCCCGTCACCGTCCCCACCAGTGAGTGAGAAGGCCGGGCCCCGGCAGCCAGCCCGTGCTGTGGACCCGGCTCGGATCCACCTCCGACGTGGCCCTCTCATCCCGTGACCCACAGGGAAGAGGCCCAGGCCTCCTCTGCCCTGACCAGCCTGGTCCCAGCAGGTCCACCACGCCTGCCCTACTTCTCCCTGTGGGGTCACGTGCTCTCAGAGGTGTTTCTGTTTTTTCTAAATCGCTGAGGTGGAGCCGTGAACTTGCACAGTCTCACGGCTACGCAGCAGCCGAGGGGGTGCCCGCACGCTGGGGCCTGGGAGCCACCCAGGGCAGGCTGTGCTGCGGGCCCCTGGTCGGGCGTGCGGATGCGCACGGGACTGAGACCCAGGAGGGCACCCTCAGCACAGCCAGTGACCCACAAGACGCCAGGACAAGGCAGCAGGGAGCGGGCGGTCTCAGCAAGTGGAGCTGGGGCGATCGGACCCTCACGGGCGACACAGACAAGAGAACGGAGACCCTCCCCTCAGCACGCAGGGAGCACGCGTCCCAGAGAACCTGCAGGAGGCCCTGCGCCCCCCAGGGAGGCAGGACAGCAAAGCGCAGCCTGCAAGCACACATCTGGGACTGCACCTCCACACTGCCAGAGCCCCAGAGCAGCATGGGACACGGGCCCAGGACTGGAGGCAGGCACCTGTCCACATCGGACACAGACCCCTGCGCGTGTGACGGGATCTCCTGTTTACACCCCAGGAAGAAGACCAGCAGGGGCCTGCCACCCCAGCACCCACATGGGCGCCGGTTTGAGTCCTTGCTGCTCCACTTTCAGTTCAGCTCTCTGCTGTGGCCTGGGAAAGCAGTGGAAGATGGTCCAAGTCCTTGGGCCCCTGCACCCACGTGGGAGACCCGGAAGAAGCTCCTGGCTCCTGGCTTTGGATAGGCACAGCTCTGGCTGTTGTGGTCATTTGGGGAGTGAACCAGCGGGTGGGAAACCTAACTGCCTTCCAAGCAAATAAATTCATCTTAAAAAAAAAAAAAACCTGGGCCGGCGCCGTGGCTCACTCAGTTAATCCTCCGCCTGCAGCGCTGGCATCCCATATGGGCGCCGGATTCTGTCCCGGTTGCTCCTCTTCCAGGCCAGCTCTCTGCTGTGGCCCGGGAGTGCAGTGGATTATGGCCCAAGTGCTTGGGCCCTGCACCCCATGGGAGACCAGGAGAAGCACCTGGCTCCTGCCTTCAGACTGGTGCAGCGCCAGCCGCAGCAGCCATTTGGGGGGTGAACCAACGGAAGGAAGACCTTTCTCTCTGTCTCTCTCTCACTGTCTAACTCTGCCTGTCAAATTTAAAACAAACAAACAAACAAACCTGCCCACTTTTAAGAGGCGCGTCCCTGAAGGAGGGGTCTGTGCGGCTCGAGGCTCAAGCCTGTGGACAGCGGTCAGCACGCCAGTCTCTGGCTTGAGCACGTGGACAGTGGTTAACACGCTGGTCTCTGAGCGTGTGCAAAGCCGTGGCGGGCTCTCCCGGCACACCCATGGCCAGAGAGAGTGGATGAAGCGCGCAGCCCTCGCACGCGGCTGGGAGGAAGCGACGTGTCGCAGGCGCGCCGCAGAGGCCCCGGGGTTCCTTACAAACAAACAGAGACTGACCACAGGATGTGGTGACCACGCCAGAGACCGCGCCCGAGAAAGGCGCAAACCCACTCCCCCCGTGGCTGCGAGCTCACGCAACCCCAACATTCACCAGGCACCGAGTGGCCAGACAAGAGCTGACTGCGGCTACCCATGCGGTGATGTCCTGACAACAGAAAGGGGGTCGGCAGTGTGGTGCCGCGGGCTAAGCCACCACCTGGGATACCCCCACCCCACACCGGGGCACCCGTTCCAGTCCCGACTGCTCCGCTTCCGACCCAGCCCCCTGCTACTGTGCCTGGGAGGCGGCACAAGACGGCCCAGGTCCTCCGGCCCCGGTCACCCACACAGGAGACCCGGACGGGGCTCCTGGCTCCTGGGTTGGCCTGGCTCAGTCCTGGCTGCTGTGGGCACTTGGGAAGTGAACCAGCAGAAGGAAAAACCTCTCTCCTTTTTAAGTCGATGAAAACAAAAACATGTTTAAAAAAAGAATCAAAGATTTACACACGCCACAGGTGGGAGAACCCCACAAACACATATGAAGTGACAGACGCCACACGCAACAACAGGTTGTACGTGAGGGGATCCAAAGATCCTAGGGAAACGGAATCAAAAGACAAGTTTATTCCGATGCAAATTTTAAAAACATGCACTTTTTCATGATACGCACTTCCCACGTGATTTCACAATCCTCCGCATCGAATAGACTTATCTGCTACTTTGCACAGCTTCCTGAAGCAGCCTGGACCCCAGAAAGGTGAGTGTGTCGGCACAGAGGCTGGCGGGAGACCGCCAGGGCGGGGGAGGAAGCGGGGTCTCGTGCCCCAGGCCGCGGGGACGCCCATGTTCGCCCCATACCTCCAACGCCCGAGTCTCACGCTAACGGCACCCCAGGCCACACAGGAACCCCTTGGCGCTGGGGGCAGGGGACGGGGCCGAGGCGGGGGTCCTGGGGAGACGGGGAGGTGGGCAGAGGGGGGCAGGGGACAGTCAGGCAGAGGCTGGGGTGAGGGAGACCGGGCCACGTGTCCGCCTGCTCGGGGGGAGGCGCACGCTCCCTGCTCCATCTCCCTCTAAGCAAAGAAGTTTCCAGACCAAATAAGGCCGCGCCTCTCCAGGCTCCTGGCACGGGGCACAAACTTGATACTTGCCAAGGCTCTGGCCTGGACCCAAGCCCTCCCAGAGCAGCCACGGCCCATCGGGCACTCAGATCCCTCCGGGTAGCGCTCCCAGCAAACCAAGGTAAACACACAGGGCCGCCCCGCAGAGGGCGGGGAGCCAGGGGCCCCCACACCGAGGGGAGCACAGTGACCGGCCGCCCTCACCTCTGCCTGGGCCAGGGGCATCTGCTGGCCCATCGCGGGCCACACGTAGTGTCACCCCCGCTTCCCCACAGCCTGCAAGGGGGCGGCGCCGACAGCAAGCGCGTCAGGTGCCGGTGCTGTTCCGAGGGCTTTGAGCGTCCGCCCCTCCTACTCCCCCGTCTCCCAGGTGGGAAGACTGAGCCCGGTGAACCTGGGGACAAACTCCAGGGCTGACCTGCTCGGAAGCCAGGGCGCTACAGTCTGCACCCCGTGACCCCTGGGTGCCAAAGAAGACAGCAGGGACGCCTCAGGGCCAGCTCTCCAGGGAAGGGGTCCCCAGCCCCGGTGCCCCTTCTACAAGAGGGTCCAGGGTCGGGCCTGTCAGCAGGTCACCTCGCTGGCTGGGGGGACAACGGGCTCAGAGGGCTTTCCCCCTCTTCTTTTCAAAAAGTATTTGTTTCCTTGAGAGACAGAGAGGTAGAGACACAGAGATGGTGCCATCCACTGGGCCACTGAACACCCGTGATGGCCGGGGCTGGGCCAGGCTGGAGCCAGGCACTGGGAGCCACACCCGACGCCCAGCGTGGGCGGCAGAAGCTGCACCCCGAGAGCCATCACTGCTGTGTCGCAGGGAATGCGGCGGCAGGAAGCTGGAGCCAGCGGGACCGCGGGGCACTGACCCCAGGCCCTCCGGCCTGGGGCCGGGCGTCTGAGCCGCGACGCTCAGCGCCTGCCCTGCCCTTGGTCGGACGCCCGGGCCAGGCCCAGCGCGAGGGCATTTACCAACTTTCCCCAGCAAGTCCTCTCTGGGGTGAGAAATGGAGACCCTCGTGCTGCACCCTGCCACTCGGACACTGTAGCCAGGCCTCGGCCACCGTGGGGGGGTGGGCACAGAAGCCCCTCGCCCTCGCCCGCACGCGCGTCCCTGCCTTGGCACGGCAACCAAGGGGGCAGCCACGCGCACTGCACAGACTCACTGGAGCCACGGCGGTGTCAGCGCACGGTCACGCTCTGCCCTCCACTCTGGGCTCTTCCTGGAGGGGGGCCCGGGTGAAGGGACCGTGCGGGACCCCCATCCTGCTGAGGGCACAGGCGGCCTGACTCCACGCTGGCCGTGCCGGAGACACAGGGACACCAAAGAGCCTTCGGCAACAAGTGACACAGACTCGAGGCAGGCTTCAGCTACAGAAAGACGGCTTAGGGCCGGCACTGCGGTGCGACGGTTACGCTGCTGCCTGACACCAGCGGCCCTATCAGAACACCGCAACCAGTCGAGTTCCCAGCTGCTCCACTTCCCAGCCAGCTCCCTGCTCATGCGCCTGGGAAAGCAGTGGAAGATGGCTCAGGTGCTTGGGCCCCTGCACCCTCATGGGGGACCCGGAGGAAGCTCCTGGCTTCGGAACAGCTCAGCTCCGGCCGTTGCGGCCATTTGGGGAGTGAACCAGTGGTTCGAAGATTCTCTCCCTCTCTGTGTTAACTCTACCTCTCAAATATTAAAAAAGAGAAAGCAGAAGGGAGGGGGGAGGGAGGGCGGTTAGGATGGCATTTTACTAGTTCAGGACTTGGGGGATGGGGCCCGGGCGGCCTCTCCGTCTACACCAGGCTCTCTGCCGCGTGGCTCTTCCCCCGAGTCGGCAGGCAATTCAGCAGAGGCCATTTTCCCTCCCACCTGCCTGCAGGACCGGAACCTCCCCCTCGCCACGCTCCTGAGACGCCCTGCGCACCACTGCCGCCGCCGGCAACCGGAAATGGACAGAGGCCAGCCCAGACCGCACGGTGCAGCTGACTTTATTTGGTTCTGGAGTGTACGTCCCTGTGACACCAAACCCTGAGGCTGAACACATCACCACACAGCTGGCGAAGCGCAGAGGGCACTGGGAGGGAGCCCCAGCCCGAGAGGCACGGCGGGCACCAGGGCGGAGCGGGGGCGGGTCCTCCCCCACGGCCGGAAGCTGGCCGGCCGGAGGCACAGTCTGAGGCTGGCACACGTCCACGGGAACAGGGCCTTCCTCAGCCCCAGCCCCGCACTGGGATCTGGGCTGGGCCGCAGTGAAGGGGGCCCCGGGAGGCGGGCCCGTGCGGGAGCCAGGGAGAGCCACCTGCTGCCCCCGCGTGCCTGCCACACTCCTGCCACTCCGCAGAGGCCCAGCGTCTCCCACGGCCGCTCCACGCCAGGCAGCAGGCCGGGGGAGGGGACGGCGTGGCACTGGCCGTGTGGACGTGGCCGCTCACGTCCCCCGCTCCTTCTTCTTGCTCGTCCTCTGGCTGCTGAGCTCGCCCAGCTTCTTACCCAGCTTCCTCTGCAGCTGTGCCCTCCTGGCCGGGTCCAGGGACCTGTCCTTGGTCCCACTGCCGGCATACAGCACGCCCTCCCGGCTGATTCTCTGCCGCGCGTGCGCGCGGGCCTTCTCGCCGCAGCCGTGGACCTGGGGAGGACATGAGAGTCAGTGGTGGCTCAGGTGGCAGCTGTGCTACCCAAGAGTGTGGGGACCACGGGAGCCCCAGCTCCGTCCTCCTCCCCGACGCTGCAGGCTCCCGGGTCGGGGCGGAGGGCTGGAGGCTACAGCCCACAGAGGACGTGGCCAGGAAATGCCCCCCACAGGCCGTGGCCAGTGTGCTCACACCCCCCAATACACCCCACGCCTGACTCCTCCAGGCGGCCTGGCCTGGCCTCCACTCCCCAGTGCCCGGCTGCACCCCAGGGCCTTTGCACACGCAGGCTCCCCAGCCGATTCACCCCTTAGGTCTCAGCGTGACCACTGCAGCACCCCCAGGACAGAGACCAGTTCTGCTCCGGCCCTAGCTCCACACGCAGCCGGGAGGGTACTTAGCACACAGGCTCCAGGAATGAGCACGGGCAGACGGCTGCTACCAGCTCCGAGCGCGGACTGCAGGCCCCACTCCCCGCCACGCAGACAACAGCCCGGCACTCCGCCGAGCGGCTGTGACAGCGGATGGCGCATTTTACTGACGTGTGCCAACTGCTGGAACCAGTCACGCCCGATGTCACCTGCCCTGCCTGCGAAGCCACCCGAGCTCATGCGGAGCTGACTCCGTCCGCCCCCGGCCCCGCCCCGCCCCGCCCCGGCCCCGCCTGCACAGGGAGGGCGGCAGCAAACCTCAGGCAGGTGGTGGCTGAGGCAGTAGCGGCGGCTGCAGAGCTGGCAGAGCTGGCCCAGGGCGGCGACGCTGGCTGTGCACCTGGCGAAGCTGCAGGTGTTGTCGGCCTTCACGGCCGCCGAGACCAGAGCGTCGAAGTCCTCCTCCGGGGGCGGGTCTCTGGCCGGACGTCCTGGAGAAGGGCCGGTGCCACGCAGTCAAGCCGCAGCACGCCAGGCCCGGAGCCGCCCCCCGCCACCTTCACTGCGTGTGCAAACGGGGTCTGCCCAGCTGCGGGGCCCCTGCGACTCCCCGGGCTCTTCAGGAGCGAAGAACCCAGAAACGCCCAGCCGCTCTCCGCTGGGTGGACTCCCGGAGGGGCGGGGGCAGCACGCACGCTGCAGCCCAGGCAGAGCCCCTCCTGACACAACACGGCTGCGTGTGCAACAGGCTGGGGCGCCTGAGCCCCCGGGGGCCCGAGCGCTTTGCCCAGGCTGAGCACGAACACCAGCCACCCCCAGCCCAGGAGCCGGGGGAGCCCAGCCAATGTCCCCTCCTCCAGGCCCTCTGCCCGCCACCCAGGCCCGGGCGCTTCCTCTGTGCCAGGCCTGCACCAGCCCTGTGCTGAGGGGGACGGCGGCCCGGGGAGGCCAGCGCGGCGCGGGGAGGGGCACCGTCACTGCACGCGGCGGCCGCCACCACTCACCTTTCGCGTCTTTCTTCTTCTTCTTGCCGGGGAGGCTCTGCGGCCCGGCGCCCCCGGCCGGCTGCCCCCTCTCGGTCTGCGGCCCGGGCTCCCCCTTCGCCCTCTGCAGTCTCTCCAGGTGGAGCGCCTTCAGGTCTGGCTGGCCCTGGCCATGCGGCTCCTTGGGGGGCTGCTCCCCGGGGGGCTGCTCCCCGGGGGGCTGCTCCTCCTGCGCGGGGCCCGGGGGCGCAGCGGGTACGGGGGCCGCGGCAGGTACGGGGGCCGAGCTGTCTGATGGCGCTGTGGGTGGCCGGGAGGGCGGGGTCCTCTTGCTCACTGTGATGTACCTGGCCTTCCCCTCCCCCGCGCTGCTGTGCCTCAGCCCCAGCTCCTCGGCTATCTGGTGCACCCGCAGCCTGTCGTGGGCGTTCAGGGACGCGGGAAACTCCAGCCGCGTCTCCTCGCTGGCCACAAACTCGGTGAGGAGGGCCCTGAGGTGCTGCGCGCTGCCTCCGCCCCCGGCGCCCGCGGGGCCGCCTCCGCTGGGGCTGGCTTGCAAGGGGGCTCCGGACCCCGCCGGCTTCCCGCCCGGCTGCCTGGGGGGCTGCCTGGCCGCCGCTGTAGCCTCCTGGGCGCCCTCCTGCCGCCGGCTCCCAGCGGGCTTCTGGGCGGCCACGCCGGGGCCCCGCGGCTTCTCGACGGCTTGGCCGTAGTTTTCGGGGACGATGTCGTCAAGGTACTCGAAGGCGGTGCGCACTTCTCCGTGCTCTGTGAAATAATCCACCAGGGTCTTCAAGAAAGCGTGGTTGCTGACGGTGCGGGAATCGCACACGACTGCCACGTGGCGCCGGGCGCGGGTCACGGCAACGTTGATCCGCCGGTCCTCGGCCAGAAAGCCAACTTCCCCTGATGAGAGGCCGCAGTGAGGGGCGGATCCGCGGCCAAGAGACCCCTCGCTCTCGCAGGAGCCCTCCCGCGGCCCTCAGACAGCCACGCCCACTGCACGCCATTTGTGGCTCCGCCACGCTCCCACGGGTGCTGGCAGCTCTCAGACTGCCGCTCGTATCCAGAAGCCCGGCCGGGGCGACAGCGTCCTGACGGGGGCCCAGGGACCACTTGCAGGCAGCTGTCCCGCCGGAGCTGAGCCCCCCTTCCGCCTCCTACGGTGAAGGCTGCCCAGGCCAGAGCGAGGGCCGTGGCCGCAGAACCACCAGGCTCGCGGCTGAAAGCCAGGCCCGGCCTCAGGGGCTCCGGGCTGCTGCCAGCCCACCCTGCGCTCCCAGCCCCTGCCTCTCCGCCTCCAGACTCCGTTCCCTCTGCTGTACAGCCTTCTCCCCTCAGCAGGTGAGGTCCACTCCCCAGCACCCACTCAGGTGGCCCTGCCCCAGGCCCCATGGACCCCCTGAGCAGGCCCCGCGGACCCCTGAGCAGGCATGTGGACCCCTGAGCATGCTCTGTGGACCCCCTGAGCAGGCCCCGCGGACCCCTGAGCATGCCCTGTGGACCCCCTGAGCAGGCCCCGCGGACCCCCTGAGCAGGCCCCACGGACCCCTGAGCATGCCCTGTGGACCCCCTGAGCAGACCCCGCGGACCCCCTGAGCAGGCCCCACGGACCCCTGAGCATGCCCTGTGGACCCCCTGAGCAGACACCATGGACCCCTGAGCAGGCCCCGCGGACCCCTGAGCAGGCCCCGCGGACCCCTGAGCATGCCCTGTGGACCCCCTGAGCAGACCCCGCGGACCCCCTGAGCAGACACCATGGACCCCTGAGCAGGCCCCGCGGATCCCTGAGAAGGCCCTGGCAGACCCCCTGAGCAGGCACGTGGACCCCCTGAGCAGACCCCACAGACCCCTGAGCAGGCCCCGTGGACCCGAGCAGGCCCCGTCACAGCCCTCGCCAGGCCGTGTGCCTTGGTCTCCTGCACCCAACCCGAGCCCCCGAGGACGGGGCAGGCGTGGCACCTGGCAGACCCGACAGCCTGAGCGCCAGCAGGTCCGCTCCGCCCCACCTTTCCTGTTGGACCGGACAAAGGACAGGATCACTGCCTCCTTCTCTCGTCCCTGGAAGCCGTCGACGGATTTGATTTCCAGCTCGGGGTGCCTACGGGCAAGGCTCTGTCTCAGCAGGTCCACCTGAAACACGAGGCAAGGCGTGGCCTCGTCACATCCCGCCTCGCCAGGCAACTTTACGGCCCTGCCCTCTGGGCCCTGCCCGGTGCTGTGACGTGGTGGGCTAAGCCTCCGCCTGAAGCGCCAGCATCCCACACGGGCGCTGGTTCGAGTCCCGGCTGCTCCACTTCCCATCCAGCTCTCCGCTGTGGCCTGGGAAAGCAGTGGAGGATGGCCCGAGTCCTCGGGCCCTGCACCTGCATGGGAGAGACCCGGAAGAAGCTCGAGGCTCCTGGCTTTGGACTGGCCCAGCTCCGGCCACTGCGGCCAATCGGGGAGTGAACCGGCGGACGGAGGACTCTCTGTGTCTGCCTCTGCCCCTCTGTAACTCTGCCTTTCAAATAAACAAATAAAATATTAAAAAAAAAAAGGATCCTGCTTCCTGCTGCTCAGCAGAGGCCCCACACTCACGCAGCCAGGGCCCAGGACGGCTCCCACGCGGCCCTTCTCACAGGCGTGGGAGAGAAGACAAGGAAACATGGAGACGTGTCACATGAGCCCTGTCACAGGTAACATTACACACGTCACACGTGACCCCCATCACCAGGTAACACACCAGCATGTCACGTGACTGCCTTGTCCCAGGTAACAGTAAGCACGTCACATGTGAGCCCCCGTCACTAGGTAACAGGTAGGTGTCACACATGAGCCCTGTCACAGGAACATGTAAGCATGTCACATGACCCCCATTATTAGCTGACACATGAGCCACATCACAGATGGTCTTATCACTGTGTAACCTGCAAGCATGTCACAAGACACCACCAGGTAACAGGCAGGCCTGCCACACGTGACCCATGGTCGCCAGGTAACAGGTAGGCCTGCCACACGTGACCCATGGTCGCCAGGTAACAGGCAGGCCTGCCACACGTGACCCATGGTCACCAGGTAACAGGCAGGCCTGCCACACGTGACCCATGGTCATAACAGGTAAGCCTGCCACATGTGACCCATGGTCGCCAGGTAACAGGCAGGCCTGCCACACGTGACCCATGGTCACCAGGTAACAGGTAAGCCTGCCACATGTGACCCATGGTCGCCAGGTAACAGGTAGGCCTGCCACACGTGACCCATGGCCGCCAGGTAACAGGTAAGCCTGCCACATGTGACCCATGGTCGCCAGGTAACAGGTAAGCCTGCCACACGTGACCCATGGTCACCAGGTAACAGGTAAGCCTGCCACACGTGACCCATGGTCGCCAGGTAACAGGCAGGCCTGCCACACGTGACCCATGGCCGCCAGGTAACAGGTAAGCCTGCCACATGTGACCCATGGTCGCCAGGTAACAGGTAAGCCTGCCACACGTGACCCATGGTCACCAGGTAACAGGTAAGCCTGCCACACGTGACCCATGGTCGCCAGGTAACAGGCAGGCATGTCAGGTATCTGCCCCTCACCAGGTAACAGGCAGGCAGACGGACAGGCAGCGAGACCGACCGACCCTGCTCTGGGCACAGGAGGCCAACCCCGCCTGGCCCCGCTCACTGTGGCCTCCTCAGCGCATGGCTGGCTGAGCCCCAGGCTGCGCGCAGGGGGACAAGGGCCCACGCGCACCTGCAGGTTGTAGGGCGTGATGACGGCAATGTCACTTGCTTGGACCCCAGCATCCACCAGAGCCTGGATGTGCAAACTGACGAGGCGGACTTCACCTGAGGGAGGAGGGTGGGTGGGTGTGGGCGCGGAGGCACACCTGCCCGCCTGGAAGGCTATGGCGCCCATCAGCTGAGTGGGAGCCGTGCCAGGCTCAGGAGACAAGAACCCAGGGCACCAGCTACTGGAACCACACACACCCACACCCTCCCGTGAACTAACGGCCGTGCGCCCCACTGATCAGCCCTGGCTGTGGAACCTGGGGACGCTGGGCCTCGTGCCCAGGTGGAGAGCACGCCCCGCTGCCTGGGACCCACGGCCGTCCTGGCGTCACAGCTGTCTGCCCCAGGGGGCATCGAGGCTGCCTCACCTCCGGAGGGCCAGGTTCCCGGGACCTCGCTCCCACAGCCTCCGCCCCCTCAGCCCCCGGTCAGGCTGGTCAGCTGACAGATGGGGCCGCCGTGTCCACAGAGGTACTCACCAGGGTTCCCCTTGGACTGGTTGCCCTCATCCAGCTCAAACAGCCCACAGCCGGCGGTGTCCACCAGCAGCAAGGGGATGCCTGTCTCCTCGGTGGCGGCCACACCCGGGAGGTCCCTGGCACACAGGTGGACACCGAGCATGTGAGTGGTGGCTGGGGGCAGCGATAGAGCCAGCCCCTCCCCCTAGGAAAACGTGGGCCTGCACGTGGAGAACACAGGGCCCAGCAGGGACACCAGGGTCAGCGGTGGGCCAGTCAGGGCAAGGCAGGGCCAGGTGGGCCAGGCAGGGCAAGGAGGGGCAGGTGGGAGCCAGGGCAGGGGGGCAGGTGGGAGTCAGGGAAGGGGGGGGCAGGTGGGAGTCAGGGCAGGGGGCAGGTGGGAGCCAGGGCAGGGGGGCAGGTGGGAGCCAGGGCAGGAGGGGCAGGTGGGAGCCAGGGAAGGGGGGGCAGGTGGGAGCCAGGGCAGGAGGGGCAGGTGGGAGCCAGGGCAGGGGGCAGGTGGGAGTCAGGGCAGGGGGCAGGTGGAAGTCAGGGCAGGGGGCAGGTGGGAGCCAGGGCAGGAGGGGCAGGTGGGAGCCAGGGAAGGGGGGCAGGTGGGAGCCAGGGAAGGGGAGCAGGTGGGAGCCAGGGCAGGGGGGCAGGTGGGAGCCAGGGAAGGGGGGGCAGGTGGGAGCCAGGGAAGGGGGGGCAGGTGGGAGCCAGGGCAGGGGGGCAGGTGGGAGCCAGAGCAGGGGGGCAGGTGGGAGTCAGGGAAGGGGGGGGCAGGTGGGAGCCAGGGCAGGGGGCAGGTGGGAGCCAGGGAAGGGGGGCAGGTGGGAGCCAGGGAAGGGGGGGCAGGTGGGAGCCAGGGCAGGGGGGGCAGGTGGGAGCCAGAGCAGGGGGGCAGGTGGGAGTCAGGGCAGGGAGGGACAGGTGGGAGCCAGGGCAGGGGGGGCAGGTAGGAGTCAGGGCAGGGGGGCAGGTGGGAGCCAGGGCAGGGGGCAGGTGGGAGCCAGGGCAGGGGGGCAGGTGGGAGTCAGGGCAGGGGGCAGGTGGGAGTCAGGGCAGGGGAGGGACAGGTGGGAGCCAGGGAAGGGGGGGCAGGTGGGAGCCAGGGCAGGGGGGCAGGTGGGAGCCAGAGCAGGGGGGCAGGTGGGAGTCAGGGAAGGGGGGGGCAGGTGGGAGCCAGGGCAGGGGGGCAGGTGGGAGCCAGGGCAGGGGGCAGGTGGGAGCCAGGGCAGGGGGCAGGTGGGAGCCAGGGCCGTGTCACTCACTGCAGGAGGTGCCCCGCCACGGAGGGGTGGGCCGTGAGCTGCCCGTGGTACATGGCCTCCGAGGCCCAGCGCATGATGGCCTGGTGCATGCGGTACTGCACCGTCAGCACCCGCATCACGTTCTCGCCGTGCTCCTCGGCCAGCCGCTCCATCAGGCTCCGCGACAGCCCCGCCAGTGCGGCCCTGTGCCGGGGGAAACGAGGGCCTGAGCTCCAGGGTCCACACGAGACCCTGCAGCTGAGTGTGACAAGCCGCCCTCAGCCTCGGGCCCAGTGCGGCCGGTTCCAACCCTGAACTCTGGGCCCCGAGACACCGCGCCTGGCGATGACCAGCCTCACGCGACAGGCAGGGCCTGGCTGACGCATGGGAGGGGGTGAGGACCCTGACACGGGTGGGCCCTGCATGGTCACACACTGCAGGACAGGTGGGGCCTGGCTGACGCATGGGAGGGGGTGAGGACCCTGACACGGGGTGGGCCCTGCATGGTCACACACTGCAGGACAGGTGGGGCCTGGCTCACGCATGGGAGGGGCGAGGACCCGGACACGGGGTGGGCCCTGCATGGTCACACACTGCAGGACAGGCGGGGCCTGGCTGATACATGGGAAGGGTGAGGACCCTGACACAGGGTGGGCCCTGCATGGTCACACACTGCAGGACAGGTGGGCGGGGCCTGGCTGACGCATGGGAGGGGCGAGGACCTGGACACGGAGGTGGGCCCTGCAGGGCCTGGCTGGCTCATGGGAGGGGCGAGGACCTGACACGGGTGGGCCCTGCAGGGCCTGGCTGGCTCATGGGAGGGGCGAGGACCTGACACGGGTGGGCCCTGCAGGGCCTGGCTGACGCATGGGAGGGGCGAGGACCTGACACGGGTGGGCCCTGCATGGTCACACACTGCAGGACAGGTGGGCGGGGCCTGGCTGACGCATGGGAGGGGCGGGGACCTGACACGGGGTGGGCCCTGCAGGGCCTGGCTGACGCATGGGAAGAGGTGGGCCCCACACAACAAGGGACCGCAAGATGCCACGCTGCAGGCTCTGAAGATGGAGCAAAGGGCCGGGAGCTGACAGACGCGGCGGCGTGCGGGGCAGGCGGAGCAAGGAGATGTCTCTGGGCGCTTGCGGGCCGTGAGCCTCGCTGACACCCGACTCCAACATGTGACCTCCAGAGCCAAGAGGCCACGCCTCAGGTGGCTGGAAGCCGCTGCGTCTGTGGCCACTGGTCACAGCAGTGACAGGAAAGTGACACAGGACACCTGGCGGAGCGCGAGACGCTGCTGGCCTGGGCTCACGGCTCAGCTCTGCTTCCGGTGCAGCCCCCTGCAGATGGGCGCCTGGCAGGCAGCCAGCGATGGCTCAGGCACCAGCACCTGTGTCCCCCGGGCCGGTGCTGTGCCGCAGCAGGCCACGCCGCTGCTGGCATCTCATGAGCACCAGGTCAAGTCCCGGCCGCTCCACTTCTAATCCAGCTCCCTGCTAACGCACCTGGGAAAGCAGCAGACCATGGCCCCGGCACCTGGGCCCCTGCCACCCATGTGGGAGACCCGGATGGAGCTCCAGGCAGCTGGCTTCCGCCTGGCCCAGCCCTGCCTGCTGTGGGCATTTGAGAAGTGAGCCAGCAGACCAGAGGTCTCTGTCTCTCTCTCTCTTTCAAATAAACTTTAAAAAAAAAATGTATTTATTTATTTGAAAGAGTTACAGAGAGGCAGAGAGAGAGATCGTCCATTTGCTGGTTCACTTCCCCAAATGGCCATAGCAGCCAGAGCTGAGCCAATCCAAAGCTTCTTCCGGGCCTCCCACATGGACGTAGGGCCCCAAGGACTTGGGCCATCTTGCACTGCTTTCCCAGGCCACAGCAGAGAGCTGGATGGGAAGTGGAGCAGCCAGGACTCGAACCAGTGCCCATATGGGATGCCGGCACTGCAGGCGGCAGCTTCACCCGCTAAGCCACAGCACTGGCCCCTCAAATAAACTTTGTAAATTCTTAGAATATGTTCCACTCCAACACTGCCAACACCCGTCAGCACTGCGGGGCGGGCTCTGGCACGGTGGTCAGTCCACCACAGTTCCTGGGTTCAAGTCCCAACTCTGCTCTTCCTGCAAACTCCATCGCGGGAGGCAGCAGGTCCCGGGCAGGCGGTCCAGCCCGACACTAACGTGGGAGCCTGGCGCAAGTTTCTAGCTCCTGGCTTCAGCCCGGCCCAGCTGGGCTGTTGTGCGTATCTGGGGAGTGAACCAGCAGAGGGGTGCTCTCTGTCTGCCTGTCTCTATCTCTCAGCTTTTCAAATAAATTTGTAATGTTTTTTAAAAAAGGAAACCTGGGGACTGGTACTGTGGCACAGCAGGTAAAACCACCATCCGCAGTGCCGGCATCCCATGTGGGCCCCGGTTCGAGACCCGGCTGCTCCACTTCCAATCCAGCTCCCTGCTAATGCACCTGGGGAAGCAGAGGGTGGTCCAAGTCCTTGGGCCCCTGCACCCGCGTGGGAGACCTCAAAGAAGCTCCTGGCTCCTGGCTTCGGGCTGGCACAGCCCCAGCCACTGTGGCCATCTGGGGAAGTGAACCAGCTGATAGAAGATCACGCTCTCTGTAACTCTGCCTTTCAAATCAATAAATCTTTAAAAAAATAAAGAGAAAAAGAAAAGCTAGCCTGCAGAGAGCCCTCACACGGGCCAGCCTGGTGCCTGTGGAAATATTATTATTTTCAGTGGATAGCTCGGAAATTGTTTTCTGTACTAGTAAGTTCATCCTTTAAATTCTCTATTTTCCAAAAATCTTTTATGTATTTATTTATTTGCGAGGCAGATAGGGGGAGAGGGAGAGAGAAAGAGACGGAGAGACAGAGGGAGTTGCCCATATGGGATGCCTAGACCCCTGCTCCTGAACGCCAGGTGTGGTCCTGGCTCCCTGGTCCACTCCCCATAAGCCCACAATGGCCCCGGGCCAGGTGCAAGTGGAAGCCGGAAGCCGGAACTTGATTCGGGTCTCCCGCTGCGGGACAGGGACCCAGCCACCTGAGTGTGGCTGCTGCCTCCAAGCGGGCGTTAGCAGAAATCTGGACCTGGGGACCACCGCTGGGCACCGAGCAGGCACCCGACGTGGGCAGTGTAGCTGGTAACCCCCAGGTCAGACGCCCACTCCACACACCGTCATGTGCACTGTGTGTGGATTCGCTCACTCCGCCTCCACCACAGCCTGTGTGGGAGGCAGAGGTCCACTCCGGTGGTCAAGACGGTGCAGCCCACGTCAGACTGCCTGGCTCGGACTCCGGCCCTGCTGACGCAGACCCTGGAGACACAATGACGGCGCCAGTGACTGGGTTTCTGCCGTCCGCACAGGAAACCTGCGCTGCGTTCCTGACCCCTGGCTCCAGCCCCAGCCGAGCCCTGGCCACTGTGGGCATCTGGGACGTGGACCAGCAGACAGGAGAGCGTGCTTGTCCCCCTCCCCCCCACTCCCTTCCTCTCTCTGCCTCACAAATAAAAACTTAAAACCAATAAAATCGGAATCTGGGACCCAGAGGTTAGGGCGCCAGCTCAAGGGGCCCGGCCAGGGAGCCGGGGAGCCAGGACCACACCTGGCGTTCAGGAGCGGGGGTCCAGGCAGGGACACCTCAAGGCCTGGGAGGCCGGTGTGGTGGGTAAGGGGTGCGTGACTGGGGGGCTCGGAGGAGGGAGGGGAGAAGAGGGGCAGCACTGCCTCCACCCAGGAGAGCTCTGCCGGCCCAGCTGCAGCAACTGCTCACCTCCCCACAGCAGAACCGGGGCCCGAGCGCCCCACGGCCCGCACCGTGGACGTGCCTGCAGACGGGAACCACAGAGCCGCACAAGGTGAGCCGCAGGGCGGCTGTCACTGCCCCACCCCCACCCCCACCCCCAGAGCACGGGCCTGCCTCTCCCCACGCTGTGCTGTCACTGCCCCCACCCCCACCCCCACCCCCAGAGCACGGGCCTGCCTCTCCCCACGCTGTGCTGTCACGGCCCCACCCCCACCCCCACCCCCAGAGCACGGGCCTGCCTCTCCCACGCTGTGCTGTCACAGCCCCCACCCCCACCCCCACCCCCAGAGCACGGGCCTGCCTCTCCCCACGCTGTGCTGTCACGGCCCCACCCCCACCCCCACCCCCACCCCCAGAGCACGGGCCTGCCTCTCCCCACGCTGTGCTGTCACGGCCCCACCCCCACCCCCACCCCCACCCCCAGAGCACGGGCCTGCCTCTCCCCACGCTGTGCTGTCACAGCCACCCACCCCCACCCCCACCCCCAGAGCACGGGCCTGCCTCTCCCCACGCTGTGCTGTCATGGCCCCACCCCCACCCCCACCCCCACCCCACCCCCAGAGCACGGGCCTGCCTCTCCCCACCCTGTACTGTCAGAGCCCAACCCCCACCCCCCCACTGCACGGGCCTGTCTCTCCCCACCCTGTGCTGTCACGGCCCCACCCCCACCCCCAGAGCACGGGCCTGCCTCTCCCCACGCTGTGCTGTCACAGCCCCCACCCCCACCCCCCCCCCCAGAGCACGGGCCTGCCTCTCCCCACGCTGTGCTGTCATGGCCCCCCCCCCCCCCCCACTGCATGGGCCTGCCTCTCCCCACGCTGTGCTGTCACGGCCCCACCCCCACCCACCCCACTGCACGGGCCTGCCTCTCCCCACGCTGTGCTGTCATGGCCCCACCCCCACCCCCACTGCACGGGCCTGCCTCTCCCCACGCTGTGCTGTCATGGCCCCACCCCCACCCCCAGAGCACGGGCCTGCCTCTCCCCACGCTGTGCTGTCACGGCCCCACCCCCACCCCCACCCCCAGAGCACGGGCCTGCCTCTCCCCACGCTGTGCTGTCACAGCCCCCACCCCCACCCCCACCCCCACTGCACGGGCCTGCCTCTCCCCACGCTGTGCTGTCAGAACCCCACCCCCACCCCCACTGCATGGGCCTGCCTCTCCCCACGCTGTGCTGTCACTGCCCCCACCCCCATCCCCACCCCCACCCCCACCCCCAGAGCACGGGCCTGCCTCCCCCACGCTGTGCTGTCACGGCCCCACCCCCACCCCCCCCCCCAGAGCACGGGCCTGCCTCTCCCCACGCTGTGCTGTCACTGCCCCACCCCCACCTCCACCCCCACCCCCAGAGCACGGGCCTGCCTCTCCCCACACTGTGCTGTCACGGCCCCACCCCCACCCCCACCCCCAGAGCACGGGCCTGCCTCTCCCCACACTGTGCTTCTCACAGGCACGGCAGACACACAAGGCAACAAGTACCCACTGAGCCAGGAAACGGGGGGACACCCGGCACTGTGCCTCCGCCCCTCGCCCCAACAAGGACACAGTCCAGTGATCAGTGCAGGGAAACAGGGTGGAGGAAGCCCATCGGCGCCCCGGGCAAGCCCGGCCTTCTGGGCTGGAGCTGGCAGGGCGGCAGACAGGCGCCCGGCCAAGGCTCTTACTTGGGGGACACGGTGGTGGGCGGCAGCTGCTTGTGGTCTCCAGCCAGGATGCACTTCCGGGCCCTCAGCAGCGGGATCCAGCAGCTCGCCTCCAGCGCCTGGGCGCACTCGTCCACGACCACCACGTCGAAGTGGCTCTCGGGCAGCAACTTCAGGGGGCCGTCGGGAGAGGCACCTGCCGCGGACAGGGCACCGGGGTCACGGGGGCCCTGGCTGCTTCCTCACAGCCACAACCACACCGGCAACGAGACAGGCGGTGAGGGGGCTGCTCCGCCCGCCAGCCGTGCTCAAAACTGCACGGGGCGGGCGCTGCGCCCACACCCCACGCTGCATTACTGTGCACGGGGCAGGCACTGCGCCCGGCACCCGAGGCCCACACCCCACGCTGCGCTACTGTGCACGGGGCAGGCACTGCGCCCGGCACCCGAGATGCCCACACCCCACACTGCATTACTGTGCACGGGGTGGGCGCTGCGCCCACACCCCACGCTGTGCTACTGTGCACGAGGCGGGCGCTGCGCCCACACCCCACGCTGCGCTACTGTGCACGGGGCGGGCGCTGCGCCCGGCACCCGAGGCACCCACACCCCACGCTGCACTGCCTGGGTCCAGTCCTGGCCCCAGCTCCCAGTTCCAGCTTCCAGTCAGTGCAGACACTGGGAGGCGGCAGGTGATGTCTCCTGCCCCTCACCTGGAGACCTGGGCTGACTCCCAGCGCCCGGCTTCAGCCTAGCCCAGCCCAGGCACGGCTGGGGCGGGTTTCCGGGGAGTGAACCAGTGGATAAGAGCTCCCTTGTGTCTCTTTCTGTCTTTGCCTCTCAAATTGAAAAAAAGGGGAGGTGGTGTGGAGTAAATTTATCTTAAAGTAAGAACAAGGAAGGAAGATTAATCTCTCATCTTTGGGGCAGGGGTTTGGACTAGCAATTCGGAAGCCACTTGGGACGCCCGTGTACTATACTGCAGGCCCTGGGTTCAAGTCCTGAGTCTGCCCCGACTCCGGCCTCCTGCTGACACACGCCCTGGGAAGCAGCAGGTGACAACTCAAGTGGCCGGGTCCCTGCCACCCACGTGGGAGACCCAGATGGAGCTTCCGGCTCCTGTCTTCAGCAGTTGTGGGCATTTAAGAAAAAACTAGCAGATAAGAGACTGCTTTCTGCCTTTCAAATTCTTTTTTTTTTTTTTAATTTATTTTATTTGAAAAGCGCACAGGCAGAGAGAGATAAGAGACAAAGAAAGAGGTCTTCCATCTGCTGATTCACTCCCCAGATGGACGCAACGGCTGGAGCTGAGCCGATCCGAAGCCAGGAGCCTGGAGCTTCCTCCAGGTCTTCCCACGTGGGTGCAGGGGCCCAAGCACTTGGGTCATCTTCCACTGCTTTCCCAGGCCACAGCAGAGAGCTGGATCAGAAGTGGGGCAGCCGGGTCTCGAACCGGCGTCCATATGGGATGTTGGCACTTCAGGCCAGGGCTTTAACCCGCTGCGCCACAGCACGGGCCCCTCAAACTCATTTTTTAAAAACCTTCTGGTTCCAGGGTGGGTGCTGTGGCACAGGTGGGCTCAGCTGTCACTTGGGACACTCGACTCCCACACCAGACCTGGTTCAAGTCCCAGCTGCTCCACTTCCCATCCAGCTCCCTACTGACGAGTCTGGGGAGCAGTAGGAGATGGTCCAAACACTCGGCCCCCGCGACCGCGGAGGAGACGGGCGCCGTGCCAGGTTCCTGGCTTCGGCCCGGCCCAGCACTGGCCGCTGCAGCCATTTGGAGTGAGGCAGCGCCAGTGGACAGAAGATTCTCCCTCCCCACCCTTTCTCCCACTCTTCTGCAACACTGCCTTTCAAGTAAATAAATCTAAAGATAACGGGCCAGGTTCCCGCCCGCCTGCGTGATATGCAGCCGGGGCTGTGGCCGCGACCACACTGGCCATCAATCGCCAGCGGCCGTGGCCCTGAACCACAGAATAATCTAATTTTACACATCACAACCACATCGGCTCTGACTTCAGCGTTTAATTCTCCTCTGAGGATTTTAGACAGAACAGTTCTCGGCTGGGCAAGCACGCAGAGAAAGCCCACGCATCTGACGACACAGAACCACTGCCCCATTCCTTCCTGGGGTATGCAGCATCGCAGTGAGAACACGGGTGGGCAGGCCCGGCCCCAGCCCCACGCCAACTCCTGCAGGCGGCCTGGGCCCGGGCAGGCCCACCCGAGCTGTTCTCACGGGAAAACGTGGCTCACACGTGTCTCCTATCTGAATGAGGGCGTGTGGCTTTGGTAAATGCTGGTTTGTAGCCGTATGAATCACGCTACAGACACCCGTACTATTTTATGATATACAAGAGGACCTCAAAAAGTTTGTAGAAAATGAAGTTGAGTTCATTTTGGTGCAAGAAAATTTTGAAATCCTTGCACAGAGGAATCGTCAAAAAGCTCATGGAACCGGCCGGCTTCGGGCACGGCAGGTAAGCTGCTGTAGCCGCCACGCCACAGCGTGGCCCAACCCACACCGTTCTGAAGCCCCAGGTACGTCTGGAAGGACTCCTCAAGCCCGGACCTTCAGAGGCGGCTGGGAAGGGGCCGCACGGGACGCGGGAAGGGGCCGCACAGGACGCGGGAAGGGGCCCGGACCTTCAGAGGCGGCTGGGAAGGGGCCTCACAGGACGCGGGAAGGGGCCGCACGGGACGCGGGAAGGGGCCTGGACTCTGCATAACAGAGACGTGGTCAGATCACAGATGCAGCCTCACGGTGCCAAAGGAATGTGTACTTTTGGTTAACATCTACTTATTTGAAAGGCAGAGTGACAGACACACACAGACACACACACAGAGATCAATCTTCCGTCCACTGGCTCACCCCCCAGATGCCCGCGGCTCCACCCCGGTCTCCCCCGTGGGCAGCAGGAGCCCAGGCACCTGCTGCCTCCCCAGGCACACCGGCAGGGACCTGGGTCAGAAGCAGAGCAGCAGGGACTCAAACCGCGCGCCAGTGCTGGGCTAAGTGTGGCACCACCACCAGCTCCAGAGGCCAACTCTAAAGGAGAAGCACTCCCAGAAACTGGCCTGGCTCCTAAGGCCGCCAGGGGGGACCGAGCGGCAGCGCAGTGGGCAGGGCCGGCCCTCACTTCCCCAGGTGCTCCATTTAAAGCCAGGCACGGAGTGACGACCCCTGCACTCTCTCCTCCATTAACGCAACACCACCACCGGCAGAACAGCTGGAGTCAGCTCCGAGAGTTCTGGAAGGTTCCCTAAGCTCTGCCTCAGCGCAGCGGGCTGTCCACGCGGGGCCGGCCGACTCTCAGGAACTGTGAGCCGTGCCTGTTGTAGCCGCCCTGGTGCCAGCCGTCCCCTGCCCATCCTAGGGGCGCCTGCAGGCCCCGAGGGCGGACGGGGCCGGACCCCCACAAAGCCTTCCCAGCAGGCCTCCACGGCCTTTTCCCGGCAGCAGAGGCAGCTGCTGGACACCGTGGCCCTCTGGGGCAGGGGCTCGTGGTGGGAGCAAAGCAGCGGCCAACCCCAACACCACGTTCCTGGGAATCTGGAAACCCAGCTTGGGGTCAGTGCACACGCCCAGGGGAGACCACGAGGCCCCACGCCCCGCCTCCGCTTCATCTGGAGGCACTGCACACACAGGAAGTGAGAGCCAGGGCTGGACACAGCCTGGCTGGGGGCTGCCCGTGCGCCCCAGACACCGGGAGACGCACTGGTTCCAGGAGCCTGAGGGAACTCTAGTCCCCAGCTGGCTACAAAGCCAAGGAGAGATCTCAGCAACCAACACTGTGGCGGGGAGGGGGCTGCGTCTCCAGGACGCCCACGTCACCGCACTGGCAATAAACGCAGCAGGACAGCAGAGCCAAGGCAGGGCCCGGACACAGCCAAGCAGAGCAGGCTGCAGGGGCCCGCCTGTGGCGCGAGGGGCTTCGAGTCCCACCTGCTCGGCTTCCGACCTGTCAGCTCCCTGCTGCTGCACCCGGGACAGCAGCAAAAGATGCCCCAAGTACTTGGGCTCCTGGGACCCACGTGGGAGATACAGATGAAGCTCCTGGCTCCTGGCTTTGGCCTGGCCCAGCTCTGGCTGCTGTGGTCATTTGGGGAGTGGACCAGAGGATGGAAGATCTCTCTTTCTCTCTTTCAAATAAAATAAATCTTTTAAAAACATTTTTGTTTTTGGCCGGCGCCGCAGCTCACTAGGCTAATCCTCCGCCTTGTGGCGCCGGCACACCAGGTTCTAGTCCCGGTCGGGGCGCCGGATTCTGTCCCGGTTGCCCCTCTTCCAGGCCAGCTCTATGCTGTGGCCCGGGAGTGCAGTGGAGGATGGCCCAAGTGCTTGGGCCCTGCACCCCATGGGAGACCAGGAGAAGCACCTGGCTCCTGCCATCGGATGAGCGCAGTGCGCCGGCCTGGCCGCAGCGCGCCGGCCACGGCGGCCATTGGAGGGTGAACCAACGGCCAAGGAAGATCTTTCTCTCTGTCTCTCTCTCTCACTGTCCACTCTGCCTGTCAAAAAAAAAAAAAAAATTTTTTTGTTTTTGACAGGCAGAGTTAGACAGTGAAAGAGACAGAGAGAAAGGTCTTCCTTTTTCCGTTGGTTCAGCTCCCAAGTGGCTGCTACAGCCAGTGCGTTGCGGCCAGCGCGCTGCACCGATCCAAAGCCAGGAGCCAGGTGTTTCTCCTGGTCTCCCATGGGGTGCAGGGCACAAGCACTTGGGCCATCCTCCACTGCACTCCCAGGCCACAGCAGAGAGCTGGCCTGGAAGAGGGGCAACCGGGACAGAACCTGGCGCCCCGACCGGGACTAGAACCCGGGTGCCGGCGCCGCAGACGGAGAATTAGCCTAGTGAGCCGTGGCGCTGGCCTTAAAAACATTTTCCGAGAGCAGCAATCCATCAGGAGGTTCCGCGCCGAGGGCCCGGGTGCCGGGTCTTACAGATGAGGGCAGTACAGCCCCTTCACACGCAACAAGCAACAGGAAACCCAGCGAGACCAACAAGCGCGAGACGAGAATTCGCACGCAGAGAGCGCACCGGGGCAGACACCAAGAAAGCCCCACAGGGACCCAGGACCCGGGACGCGGGCAGTGGAGTCCACGAGCAAGGCTCGGCAGGCAGCGGCAGTGGGCGGGACAGCGGTGACCTAAAGACGGGTGAGCGGAGAGCGTGCCGTCTGTGCACAGAGAGAGAATGAAGGGAAACAGCGGAGCCCTGTGGGGCACACGCACAGCAGGAGCCCCACACAGACAGGGGGCGAGAGGGGGCAGAAGGAATATCTGAAAGAAACAGCGGCCAAAAACATCACACTTAATGAAAAACACGAATCCACACGCCCAAGAAGCTCCGGACTCCATCAAGTTTGCAGAGCGCCACCAGACATGAACTGGGACAAAGGTGTGGGTGGGCATGGGCCTGGTGCCCAGGACACGACTGGGACACCCACATCCTGCCTCACAGCCTGGGCTGCAGTCCTGGCCCGCTTCCTGCTGAGACGCACCTGGAGACAGCAGGTGGGGCGCGGCCAGTGGGGTCCTGCTCCCCACCTGGGACACCTGGAGGCAGCAGGTGGGGCGTGGCCAGCGGGGTCCTGTTCCCCACCTGGGACACCTGGGACACCTGGAGGCAGCAAGTGGGGTGTGGCCAGCGGGGTCCTGCTCCCCACCTGGGAGACCTGGAGGCAGCAGGTGGGGTGTGGCCAGCGGGGTCCTGCTCCCCACCTGGGACACCTGGGAGACCTGGGAGGAGCAGGTGGGGCGTGGCCAGCGGGGTCCTGCTCCCCACCTGGGAGACCTGGAGGCAGCAGGTGGGGCGTGGCCAGCGGGGTCCTGCTCCCCACCTGGGACACCTGGAGGCAGCAGGCGGGGCGTGGCCAGTGGGGTCCTGCTCCCCACCTGGGAGACCTGGACTGAGTTCCCGGCTCCAGCTTGTCACAGGCATTTGGGGAGTGGACCAGAGAGGCAGGATAATCGCTCTCTCCCCTCCACTTCCCCTCTCCCCCCTCCCCTCTTCCTCTCTGCCTCTCAACTAAATAAAAATCCACAAAAAAATGCAGACAGCCGGAGCGCTGCACAGGAGGAGAGGCGCGGCTCCCAGGCAGGCCCATGGTCAGGTTCACGGCTGGACTCTCGGCAGGCACCGCGCAGGCCCACGGCGCGGCACAGCACGTCCCATGCGCCAGCGCCGACGGTCACGCAGGACTCCGCCCACCTGCGCAGGAAGGCGCGGACGGAGCCCCCAGCACGCGGGCCTCAGCAAACTAGTGGCCACAAGCCCAGGGCCACACGAGGGCGGCAACCGCACACTAAAGGCAAACAACTACACGGACGTGGCTTTCTGGTTTTTGACTCATTTTTTTAATCTTCCACAATTCAGAAAACAACTGGACTCGGCCCTGCGCCCAGCCGCCGTGCCTCAGCACAGCCCACAGCACAGAGGGCACCACAGCAGGGTGGCGGCGGCCCGGGAGCCCAGCCCCGGCTCCAGGCCTTGCTCCGTCGCCCCGGCGTGTGCGCGGGGCCTGACACTTGCCCGTGAGCACCAGGCCGCGGCGGTGAGGCAGCCGCACTCCCCCGTACGGGACACGGTCACTCTGGCGCTTGCCAGCTTGGAGGAAGAGCGGCCAGGTCGGGAGGCCGACGGACAAGCAGCTGCCAGCGGCCTCCACTGACAACCGGCAAGAAATCCAGCCAAGGGCCCGCCAGACCGGGCGCTGCGCAGAGGCAGAGGCGCCAGCCACACCTGGCCGCAGCCGGCTAAGCCGCGCCAGGACCCCTGGCCACGGAAACTGTGGACTGAGAAGTGTGCTGTTCGTCGCTTCCTCGTGGTCACGTCACTACAGCAAGCGCAGGGGTCTCGGCCCCCCCAAGGAGTCACAAGGAACACGAGAGCCAACAGGGAGGAGGAAGGAGGCCCCACCTCTGCCCCGGGCTGCTTCTCCCCTGAGACGGCCCCTCGAGTCCTAAAACCACAACCCGGAGCATAAAACCATACTGACAGGAAACAGAAACACAGAACGTACGAGGGGAAAGGGGCGCAAGCAGGCGGTGGCAGGCACCAGGCACAGGAGACACAGGGGTAGAGCCAGCGGGACGGTGTGAAGAGACTGCCCGGAGAACGCCGGGGCGGGCGCTGGCACATGGCGCAGAGGGGGTAAGCCGCCGCCTGCAAAGCCGGCATTCCACGCGGGTGCGGGTTCAAGTCCCGCCGCTCCATTTCCAATCCAGCTCCACGCTAATGTAAGGCAGCAGAAGGTGGCCCAGGGAGTTGGGCCCCTGCACCACGTGGGAGACCTGGATGAAGCTCCTGTCTCCTGGCTTCAGCCTGGCCCAGCCCTGGCCATTGCAGCCATTTGGCGAGTCCCACAGCGGATGGAAGGTTCTCTTTCTCTAACTCTGCCTTTCAAATAAATAAGCAAATCTTAAAAAAAAAAAAAAAAAAAGTTACCATCCCAGTATCCCCAACGCTCAAAAAATTAAGTCAAAGCACCAAGATATAAAAAAAGAGCGAATCTTATTTCTGGGCATCCGACGCAACGACACCGGATGGACAGACGTGAGACTCCACACGAGAGCCGAAGGCCGGAGCAGTCAACAGGGGCAGCTCCTGCACGCACGGGCCGCCAGCCGCACCGCAATGCGCATTCAACACGTGAAGACGGCAGTCTCAGCTCCGTGTTCTCACAGCAATCAAAGACAACAGCAGACGCGACGATCCAAAACAAAACATGGAGGAATCGAGAGACAGAGAGCGCACGTGGGCAAACACTAGGCAGCCAGAGGTCCGTGCAGCTGCAGCCCCCCAGGAAGAGGGGCGGGGGGGCGTCCCTGGAGAAAGAGCGGCCGGAACATTCTCGAAGCTGGTGAGGCCGGAAAGCCAGGGACCGGGAGGTCAACGACCACAAAACACAAGCAGGGAGGGGACCGAGCATGGCGCGGGCAGCGGCTGCTCAAACCAGCAACTGGCCAGCTCCCACGCAGGGCCTCGTAGGGCAGGAAAGCTGGAGACGCCCGCCCCAGGGACAAGGCGGAAGCAGGTGTCTCCCCAGAAACCGCAGGCAGGAAAGCACCGGCCCAGAGCCCCCCCCAGCACACCTCGTCCCAGGCAGAGGCTGCACGCGACCCTCGCCAGCCCCACGTCATCAGCAACGTCAGCGCACGTCCCTGGGGCGGAGGGAAACCGTACCGTCCAGAAACACGGGTCTGCACACACGACACACACACACACACACACACACGGGACACACACCCAGACGCACACACACCAACACACAGGACACACATCCACACACACGGGACACACACACACACACACCCAGACACACACACAGGCACACACCCACCCACACAGGACACACACACACATTACACACACCCAGGACACACATCCACACACACAGGACACACTGACACACACACACACACACACGGGACACACACCAACACACAGGGCACACACACACACAAGGCGCACACACATACATGGGACACACACACGCCCACACAGGACACACACAATCACACACCCAGGACACACATCCACACACACGGGACACACAGACACACACATACACATACCGACACACACCCACCCACCCACACACCAACACGGGACACACACACACCACAGGCACAAGACACACCAACACACACCGACACACACACACACGGGACACACACCACACATCTACACATACCACACACACACACACGTAAGGGACACACACACACACACACACACACACGGGACACAAAGCGGAGCCTGTGTGGAGGAGCACCTAAGACAGCTTTCTCATCACTTAGATCTTGTCCAAGACAACTACTGAAGCAGTAGCCAGGGGCCGGCGCAGCAGCGCAGCGGGTTAAAGCCCCATGTGGGCGCCTGTTCAAGTGCCGGCTGCTCCACTTCCCATCCAGCTCCCTGCTAATGCGCCTGGGAAAGCAGTGGAAGATGGGCCAAGTCCTGGGGCCCTGCACCCCCATGGGAGACCCGGAGGAAGCTCCTGGCTCCTGGCTTCAGGTCGGCTCAGCTCTGGCTGCTGCAGTCATTTGGGGAGTGAACCAGGGGATGGAAGACCTCTCTCTCTCTCTGTAACTTTTTCAAATAAAGAAAATAAATTTTTTAAAAGATTTATTTTGTTTATTTGAAAGACAAAGTTACAGAGAGAAGTAGAGATAGAGAGAGGTCTTCCATCTGCTGGTTCACTCCCCAGGTGGCCGCAACGGCTGGAGCTGCGCTGTTCCAAAGCCAGGAGCCAGGAGCTTCTTCCAGGTCTCCCACATGGGTGCAGGGCCCAAGGACTTGGACCATCTTCTACTGCTTTCCCAGGCCACAGCAGAGAGCTAGATCGGAAGAGGAGCAGCCAGGATTAGAACTGGTGCCCATATGGGATGCTGACGCTGCAGGCTGGGGCTTTAACCCGCTGTGCCACAGTGCTGGCCCCAATAAAATAAATTTTAAAAAAACAAACAAAACAGTAACAAGTGGGCTGGCACTGAAAAGCCATTGCCCGCAGTGCCGGCATCCCATATGGTCACCAGTTCGAGACCCGACAGCTCCACTTCTGATCCAGCTCTCTGCTGTGGCCTGGGAAAGCAGTGGAAGATGGCCCAAGTGCTTGGACCCCTGCACCCACGTGGGAGACCCAGAGGAAGCTCCTGGCTCCTGATCAGCACAGCTCCAGCTGTCACAGCCATCTGGGAGTGAACCAGTGGAAGGAGACCTCTCCCTGCCTCTGCCTCTCTGTAACTCTGCAACAGTAAGGAGCCTGAGGAGGGGGACGACTCCGGGAGATGACAGCAGGCGCGTGGTGCCGTGCCACACGCACAGGGACTGGGACGAGCTACAGCTGCGCCCGTGCAGCCTAGCGCGAGCACCGAGAGCACAGACATCACCAAGAACTCAACAACGACGACCAGAAAACTCAGTTCATCCAAAACAAAACACAAAAATAGAAAAAAGGAAGAAAGAAGAAACGGCAGAAACCACAGACCTGGATGCCACGCGACCCGGGGAGGTGTCACCCGTGAAGAACTCCGCCGGGGCAGGCTCTTCACGCGGTGGATCGAGACGTCCCCCCGCACCCCGTCCACGTCGGGGCCCCGAGCTCAAGCCCTGCCTCCACTTCTGATCCCGCTCCCTGCTAAGGCGCGCCTGGGGGCAGCAGACGGCGGCGAGCGAACGGAGGGCAGCGCCTCCCCCGGGCAGCCCACTCCCCCGGGAGCCCCGGGCCGCCTCACCTGTGTTCGTGGCAAGGACCACGCTGGCCGCGCTGAGGCTCTCCACCATGGCCGCTTCCTCCCTCGCCTGCAGCTCCTTCCGCAGCAGCCTCACCTCGTCCCGGAGGCTACTCTTCTCCCGCCTCTCCTGGGTCTTGGTGGTCTTCACCTGCAGCGGGCGGCCGAGGAGAGACCAGCATCGAGCGGGCCGCCGCCCACCTCCGGCCCCTTCCCGCTCGCCAAGGGCCCGGGCCAGCTCCCCAGAACCTTCCCCGCGGGAGCCACGGACGCACACACGTGACCAGGCTCCTGAATCCCGGCCCGCATGGAGGTCCCTGGCCCCTGCCTGGGGAGCACCAGGAGGGCCGTGGGGTCCTGGCGGGGTCTTCACCGGAGCTCACGAGAGGCAGACACGGGCTCCACGCGGAGGCAGAGGCTGTGCCCACCGCGAGCGCCCAGCCTCCAGGGGCTGAAAAAATATTTTCTCCACGGACACTGAGCCCGCGCCCCACTGCACTCCAACAGCTCAGGCTGGCTCGGGCCCTCCCCGCGTCCTGAGCTCTCCTGGGAGCAGGGCTCCGGTGGGAGGAGCCGTCTCCTCGGGCACAGCTCGGCGGGGGGGGGGGGGGGGGGGGGGGGGCCTTGAGGGCATTCATCTCAACAGGAACAAGAGAATCAAACTGGGGCCGGCGCCGCCGTGGCGTGGGAGGCTAAACCCGGCCTGCGGCACGGCACCTCTTCCCATCCCACCTGCACCCGCGTGGGGACCTGGATGGAGCGCCAGGTTCCTGGTTTGGGCCTGGCCCAGCCCTGGCCATGGTGGCCATTTGAGGAATGAACCAGTGGGTGGGTAGAGATCTCTCTCTCTTTCAAATAAAAAAATAGATCTTAAAGCAACATCAATGAAAGAAATGAAATCGTCCATGGCCGCGAGGGGCAAACACCTCCGCATCCCCCGCCCCGCTGGCACCAGAGCCGACCCCTTCACCAGGGCAGCCTGAACCCAAGGCCGCCCCGAGCTGCGTGTGCAGCCTGCGCGCGTGCTGGAGGGAGCCGGGCACACACACAGCTCGAGCCCGACACCACCAGGCTGCCAGAGGAACGCGCCCGCCTGCCCTCTCCGGACGAGCGGCGTCCTCTTCACCAGGGTGACACAGAGGGACACGGGGACCTGCGGGACACAGCGTTCTCACGCTCAGGCCACTCTTCCCCCGCCAGATCCAGGCAGACAACGCGGCCCAGCAGGGGGAGACGACGGGGAACACTTCCTTTAAGACCACTGCTCACCCCCATGTTGCGAGCATGAGGACATCGGGTCCCTGGAGACGCTGGGTACAGTTCTGCATCAGAGTGAGCAGTCCGGGGACGGGCACTGCACTGGGCCTTCGGCCTGGAGTTAAGACGCCCACGTGCCTCAGGGCAGTGCCTGGGCCTACATCTCAGCTCCACTCCCGATTCCAGCTTCCTGCTAACGCGCACCGGGGTGACGGCCAAGTGCGTGGCCCTGCCTCCAACACTGGAGACCTGGACTGAGGTCCCACCGCTGCAGGCACTGGGGAGTGAACCAGTGGGCAGGAGCTCGCTCTCTCGCTCGCTCCCATTCTCTCTCAATTAATAAATAAAACCCAACTCTTAGAATTGAGTGACCCAACGGAGGCGAGGGAGAAGCAGGGGAACACGGGGACGTGGCTCGTTCCTGACCGCCTGCCCACGGGAAAGCTGGCCGCAGGGCAGGCCGCCGGGCGGTACCTACAAAGACCTGGTCGATGTCCTTCCTGATGTCGGCCACGAGCTGGGCGCCGTCGCTCCGCGCCAGCACGGCGTCCAGGCAGTGCTGCTGGATGGAGGGCAGGAGGCGCGCGGGGTGGCCCAGACGCACGATCCGCTGCTTGCACCGGGCCAGCCGCTCCACCAGGTTGTCCACGGCAACGTTGGAGGGCGCACAGCACAGAACCTGGCAACGCGGGCTCCGGTTAGGGCTTGTTGCTTTGCTTTACCTCGACCCCTCGCTGCAATCCCACGCTGAATCACAGACACAGGACGCCCCACAGGTAAGGAGCCAAGGGCAGAGCGTGCAGCTCTCCCACACGTAACCACCATCTGCAGGACACCTGCCACCGCGGGCTGCCACGCTGGCCAAGGAGACCCTGCACCTCCCCACGCGGCACACCTGCTAGTGACCAGCAGCTCGGACAGGTCGGAGTGCGCCCCATCGAGGCTCGCGGCGCCTCACCAGCCTGTCTCAGCCTCCGGCAGGTCCTGAGCGGGCCCCCGCAGGCCACCATCAGGAGGGGCGGCAGCTGGCGGAGGGGGCAGAGAGGACAGTCCCCCAGGCCACGGGCGGGAACGTCCGGCCCACGGGCCCTGTGAGGCCGGCGAGATCACTGGTGTGGCCCAGCCCGGGCGACCGCGGCAGGACTCAGCTCAGAGGATGTGCGGCAGGCTGGTTTGCAAGCTGAGAATTCCGTGCGGCCAGCGAATGATGCTCTAAATACCCCAGTGGCCCTCAGCGGGAAAGGGCTCCCCAGCCCCGGCCTACACCCTCCAGCGCAGGGCAGAGGGGGCCCAGGAAGGAGGCCCAGCTGCCCTTCCTGGGGCCGGAATCCTCTCTGCCCCCAAAGGCACAGGAGCGAGGACCTCACCCCGCCTCACTCTGGACGCCGAGACAGGAGGCGACCAGTTAACCCCCAAAGCTGCTGGCTGCCGGTGACCGTTTTCCTTAGGAGCTCTCGGACACCTGCGAAGACGGTGCCCCGGAGGAACCCCTGCCGGGTCTGTAACGTAACGGGCTTCCCTGTTGCCGCAAAGAGGCAGCTCCACCAAGCCCAAGTCCCAGCCCTGGCGCTCACGAGTACCTGGGCCGCAGAGCGCACGGGGCCATGGAGCGCGCAGGGCGTGGGGCGCACGGGGCCATGGAGCGCGCAGGGCCGTGGGGGCGCATGGGGCCATGGAGCGCGCAGGGCCGTGGGGCGCACAGGGCCGTGGGGCGCACGGGGCCATGGAGCGCGCAGGGCCGTGGGGCGCATGGGGGCCATGAAGCGCATGGGGCCACAGAGTGCACAGGGCCATGGAGCACCTGGGACCAAGGGGCGCACAGGGCCATGGGGCACACGCGACTGTGAGGCACACAGGGCCACGGAGTGCATGGGGCCGTGGAAGTCCCGGCACCAGGCCTTCTGAGGGAGAGACGAGCAGCCACGGGGCCCTGGCTGGTGAGCAGCGGTCAGCGCTGACCTGCGAACACCCACCATCCGCACCCCAGTTCTGACCGGGACGCGACACCTCTATAACGCAGGTCTCTCCAGGTGCTCGGGCCCTGACCCAGCGGATGCAGGTGGACTGAGGACCCTTTCTCGACCACGGAACGTCGCGTGAACAATGGGAATGTCCTAAGCCACAGCTCCCGAGCACCACGGCCGTGAGCCGGCCCAGCGCTGAGCCCCGGCACCGCCGCCCACCCCGGCCGGACCCGGACCCCGGTCAACTCGGAGCCGACGGCGGCGCTGTGCACGTCTGTGGCGCCTCATGGGAGCCGTGGGAAACGGCAGGGCCCAGCCTAGGGCTCCAGCAGCGCCCCCGCCCCGCCCAGCCCAGCCCACCGGGCCGCCCCGTCCCCCGCCCACCTTCAAGCCTTGTTTCACGGCCTGCAGGATGACTTCAACCACGGTCGTGGTCTTCCCTGTGCCAGGAGGCCCGTGGATGATGGCGAGCTCTTTCTGGGACAGCGCAAACGATACAGCTTCCTTCTGGGAGGCGTCCAGGGCAGCGTTGAAGAAGACGAGGGGCTCTGCGGGAGAAGTGGGCATGAGACCCTCCACGCGCCCCGCCTCCCACACACACAGGGCGCTGCCCCTTTCTCCCTCTCTCTGTAGCTGTGCCTTTCAAATAAGTCAATGAATCCCTTTAAAAAACAGTAACAAGCCAGAGGCTCCCGGGGTAGAGAGGGGAACGCGCTCCCGCAGGGTCCTGCTGGGGAGGGAGGAGGCTGGAAACGCGCGCGAGTGCACGCGAGGCCGCCTCTCGCCTCTCGCCTCTCGCAGGGCAGGTGTCCGAGTGACTTCTCTTCCTGGCTGACGTGCCCCTTCATTTCCACGTCTTCTGCCATCCCCACGTATTGCTCTTAGAAGCAGAAATAAATATGTTAAATTTGAAGGCTGCTGAGATATAACCAAAGGCTTGGGGGATTGCAAGTGTTCATAAAGATTTATTTATCTGAAAGGCAGAGTGACAGTGAGAGACACAGAGAGAGGTACCTTCCATCCACTAGTTCAACCCCCAAATCGTTTCAACAGCACAGGCTGGGCCAGGCCGAAGCCAGGACCCAGGAACTCCATTCAGGCCTCCCACGCGGGTGCAGGGACCCAGGCACTTGGGCCATCCTCTGCTGCTTTCCCGGGCCTAGCAGGGAGCTGGATCGGAAGTGGAGCAGCTGGGACTCGAACCAGCGCCCGTGTGGGATACATGTGTCCACAAGCAAAGGCCTACCCTGCTGGCTCCAGGACTGAAAATTCTCGAACCTAAAACTGCCATCAGGCAGAAGGGACGATGCACCACCGTCTCTTCCCACAGAGCACCGGGCCAGAGAGACACCCTTACAGTTCAGAACCAGAGATGGATACGGGAGGAGAGCGCTACCAAAAACTAAGCGGCAGGAGCCACTTGCTGGGCCTGGCGGCCAGGGAAGCTGGTCCAGCTCACGCAGCCAGTGAGACACACGGCCGCTGCTCGCTCCACGCTCCCCAAGGCCCGCGCGAGGCGCCCAGACCCACCGTTCACACCCCAGTTTCAACCAGAAAGGAAAAACCTTACGGGCTTCGCGGGCAGGGCTGGGCGTGGACCCGCCGAGCAGGACATCGGTGAGCGAGGACGCTGGGCCCCAGTGGCCCTTCTTCAGGGTAAGCAGAGCTCTGCCGGGGGGGGCCAGGATTAGCAGCTCAGCGCCCGAGCCCCTGCCCCAGCCCACGCAGCTCCCACCCCCGCGAGCAGGTGGGTGGCTGGGAGCAGGTGCGCCCCGGGACACACTGTGACAGGCGCTCACTTTCTCAGTCGCTTGTAAGTGACGTCGTTGGCGAGCTTTAACAGGCGGTAGGAGCCGTCTCGGTCCAGGCCCAGCTGGAGATCGTGGCCCTCATCGAAGGCCACGGTGACGGATTTCTGGGTGAGGTGGGTGAGGATCCCCGTGGCCAGCTGACCGCCTTCGCTGGCAGTGTCATACAGACCCACGATGTCACCTGCGAGAATCCGAAACGCCCTGCATAAGACACTGGGAACGGTTAAATATTCTTTTTTTTTTTTTTTTAAGATTTTATTTATTTGAAAGAGTTAGAGAGAGAGAGAGAGACAGAAGGGAGGTCTTCCACCTGCTGGTTCACTCCCCAACTGGCCGCAGCAGCCTGAGCTGTGCCAATCTGAATCCAAGAACCAGGAGCTTCTTCCAGGTCTCCCACGTGGGTGCAGGGGCCCAAGGATTGGGCCATCCTCCACTGCTTTCCCAGGCCACAGCAGAGAGCTGGATGGGAAGTGGAGCAGCCAGGAATAGAACCAGCGCCCATATGGGATGCCGGCGTCGCAGGTGGCAGCTTTACCAGCTAGGCCACAGCACCGGCCCCTAAATATTCTTTTTTTAAGATTCATTTTATTTATTTTGAAAGGCAGAATTAGAGAGAGGGAAAGAGAGACATACACACAAAGGGGCAGAGAAAGAGATCAATGTTCCATCAGCTGGTTCACCCTCCAAATGGCCGCAACAGCCAGGGTTAGGCCAGGCTGGAGTCAGGAGGCCCGAGCTCCATCCTGTCTCCCACGTGGGCGGGTGCAGGGGCCCAGGCACTTGGGCCATCTTCTGCTGCTTTCCCAGGCCATCAGCAGGGCACTGGACTGGAAGCAAAGCAGCTGGGACTCGAACCCTAGTCCTGACCTACCCCCGGCACCACACCGGTTCCAACAGGACTTGGGCTCCCGAGCTGCCGACACTTGGACTGCTCCCTGGAAGACGGAGAGCCTCCAGCTGATTGTGTTTACACGCCGCCTGCACACCGTCCTACCTGCCAGCAACGCCCCAGGCACTGCAGGCCCAGGACTCGGGCCCGGTGACCACCTCCTGGTCACACGGTGACAACAGCCAAGGCTCCGCCTGGGACACACACATTTTCCACAGTGAGCGCCTGGCTTCCAGCCCCAGCAGACACACGCCTGGGAGGCAGCAGGCAATGGCTCCAGCGGCTGCGTCCCCGCCCCGTGTGAGAGCCCCACCACGTCCTGGCTCCCGGCTCCAGCCTGGCCCAGCCCCCGCTGCTGCAGGCATTTGGGGAGTGAACCAGCAATGGAAGACTGCCCTCTTTTTTTTCCTCTAAGATTTTTTATTTGAGAAAGAGAGTTACAGAGAGAAAGAGAGGCAGAGAGAGCTTCCATCCGCTGGTTCACTCTCCAAATGCCTGCAACGGCCAGAGCTGGGCCAGGCTGAAGCCAGGAGCTTCTTCCGGGTCTCCCATGTGGGTGCAGGGGCCCAAGCACTTGCCCCATTCTCCACTGGTTTCCCAGGCCACAGCAGAGAGCTGGACCGGAAGAGGTACAGCCGGGACACAAATCAGCAGCCATAGGGGATGCCGGCGCTGCAGACAGAGGCTTAGCCTACTGCACCACAGCGCCAGCCCCAATCTCCCTCTCCCTCCCTCCGCCCCTGAAATAAAATAAATATCTCAAACTCTTCTCAGGTTTGACTCCGCCCAGCATGTCCTTCTCCTCTCATCTGCAAACCCAGCCAGTCTTCCAGCAACTGCTGTGAACCAAGTCTGTGACGTCAGAGGACTATCCCCAGCAAGACAAGACAGAGACGCCCGGGCGGCAGACACAGGGCTGGCAACCCTGCCGTCATCCTCAGCCTTCCGGGCCAAGGCCGACCCGAGCGTCCCCAGGATGGAACAGGACTGCCCCTCCTCTCCGACGGGGCTGGCACACATGGCGCCAACGCGTGCTGGGTGTGAGAAAGGCTGGGAGTGCGGGGCCGTGCAGGCTGCATGGCACCAGTTGGGGCCACATCTGCCCGCCACAGAGAAATGGGACGGGAGGGACGGCTGCGTCCTTTACCAGAGTGGCTGGTTCACGTCCCGGCTCCTCCACTCAGTCCAGCTCCCTGCTAACAAGCGCCTGGGAGGCAGCGGGGAGGGCTCAGGTCCTGTGGGCCCTGCCACCCACGAGGGAGATGGGAGACTCGGACTGAGCGCTGGCCCAGGCTGTTGTGGATTTGGGGAGTAAACTAGCAGATTGATGCACTCTCTCTCTCTCTCTCTGCCTTTCAAATCAAATGAAAATGATTACATAATTTCTCTAAAAAAGAAATATAATGAAAATCACAAAGAAACAGGTAAATTGGTTCTAATAATTTTCGGGGCGAGTGCTAAGGTGCAGCAGGTTAAGACACCACCTGGGACGCCAGCATCTCGCACGAGCGCCGTGGGCCCTGGCTGCTCCACGTCCAGTCGGGCTCCGTTACTGCACCCGGGAAGGCAGCAGGTGCCCACGCGGGAGACCCGGATGGAGCTCCAGGTTTCTGGCTTTGCCCAGCCCCAGCACTAGTGGCCATCTGGAGACCGAACCAGTGGATGGAAGATCTGCCAGAGTCTGTCTCCCTCTCTGTCCCTCTGCCTTCCATATAAATAGATCTTTACTAAAAGTGATTTGGGGCTGGCACTGTGGCGTGGCACGTTAAGCTACCACCTACAATGCCAGCATCCCACAGGGGCGCTGGTTCAGTTCCAGCTGCTCCACTTCTCTGCTGTGGCCTGGGAAAGCAGTGGAAGACGGCCCGAGTCCTTGGGTCCTGCACCCAGTGGGAGACCCAGAGGAAGCTCCTGGCTCCTGGTTTTGGCCTGGCCCAGCCCTGGCCATTGCAGCCATTTGGGGAGTGAAGCAGCAGATGGAAGCTCTGTCTCTCTAACTCTGCCTTCTGCCTTTCAAATGAAATAAAATAAGTCTTAGGAAAAGTTTATTCAATGCAATATAGAAAAAATAGCATTTCAACATGTAATCCACATTTGAAACAATGACCCGCGATCTATTCCGAATCCTTTAACTCAATCTTCAAAACCTGGCGTGTACTGAGAGCTGCGGGCAGTCGTCGGTCCCCTGCCAATGCGCCGTCCCCACCGTGGTCGGAGGCGGCCATTCTAAACAGCGCTGACCCCGATGAGCGAAAGCCACGCACTGCTGGGACGCCTAGTGAGCAGGTGCCGCCCCGCCGTCTGACCCCGTCTTCCCTGTTTCTCGTAGCTGTGCTTTGCTCTGCTGTCTGAGAGCTGGAGACTGAGGGCTCCCACCCACGGGCCGCTCCCAGACGGCCGCAGCGGCCCCTGACTGGGCAGGAAGCCGCGGACTCGGCTTCCCGTGCGGGCGGCCGGGCCCTCGTGGCCCCCTCCCAGGTGTGGGTCAGCAGGAGCTGGGGTCGGGAGCAGGTCGTGGCGTGCGGTGTGATGTCTCGGCACGCATTCACAGCGCGCCCCGGTCACGAGGGGTAACTGCGTGTGTGTCAGGCAACACCACGAAGCCCTCTCGCTCGGTGTTCGGAAATACTCAGTTGGCTGCTGCCCATCAGTAAGCCGGTCTCACGGCAACACTGGAACATCTGAAAGCGCACACTGCCCGGTGGGCGTTGGCCCAGTGCTCGGGACACCTGCGTCCCACGGCAGAGGCCCGGCTCAAGGCCTGGCTCCGCCACTGCTGACACACAGCCCGGGAGGCAGGTGGATGGCTCACGCACTCCGGCCCGTGACCCACGTGGGAGGCCCAGCCGGGATCCGGGCTCCGGCCTGGCTGTCGCAGGCATCTGGAGAGTGAAGCAGAGGGTGGCAGACGCCCCCGTCTGTCTCTGCTCTAGAGAGGAAGCGAGGCGCAGGCGGAGAGGCCCCAGGACGTCTGCACACGCACCCGAGGCGAAGCTGTTACTGGGCAGCTCCCCCGCCGAGACGCTCTTCCTGGGCTCGAAGGTGACCAGCAGCCGGCCATAGAGCCCGGTGCGCTGGCCGCTCACCCGCAGCCTCAGCAGACACACGCCCCGGCTCTGCAGCTCCTTCAGAGAGAGGCTCTCCTGCCAGGACCTGGGGAGACACGGACCGCAGCGTGGCCGCCCCGCCGTCTGCATCCCCCCGCCGTGTGGGCTGAGAAGAGGAGAGCAGACCGGAGCCGGAAGACGCCCCCCCAGCCTGCACCCGGCCCGCACCCGGCCCTCCTTCGTCCCCTAGGGCAGGGAACGCTCCGCCACGGCCACGGCCACGTGCTCTGCCCCCACAGCGCCGCCTGCGTCCTGTCCAGCAGAGTCCTGGCAGCCCCTGACTCCACTCCGCCCCCCCCCCCGGCCCTGGTCCAGCCCACCCCACCGCTGACCGGTACACGCGGCCTCCCCCAGGCCCTGGTCCAGCCCACCCCACCGCTGACCGGTACACGCGGCCTCCCCCTCCCCCCGCCCTGGTCCAGCCCACCCCACCGCTGACCGGTACACGCGGCCTCGCTCACACCCCCCGCCCTGGTCCAGCCCACCCCACCGCTGACCGGTACACGCGGCCTCCCCCTCCCCCGGCCCTGGTCAGCCCACCCCACCGCTGACCGGTACACGCGGCCTCCCCCTCCCCCGGCCCTGGTCCAGCCCACCCCACCGCTGACCGGTACACGCGGCCTCCCCCTCCCCCCGCCTGGTCCAGCCCACCCCACCGCTGACCGGTACACGCCGCCTCCCCCTCCCCCCGCCCTGGTCCAGCCCACCCCACCGCTGACCGGTACACGCCGCCTCCCCCTCCCCCCGCCCTGGTCCAGCCCACCCCACCGCTGACACCCCCGCCCCCTCTCCCTCTCCAGTAAACAGAACAAACGTTTTTTAGGGCCTGCCCAGTGCAGAAGCGTCCGCTCCCGCTCCGGAAGGCTCCCCTCGCCCGGCTCTGCCCCTCGACGAAGGCTCCCGCGCCCTCACCCCGGAGACCCCCTCCTCCCGGACGCCCTCCCCGACCCTCCGCGGCGGAGAGACCCTGCCCGGCCCCCAGCGCACCGCGCAGGCCCGCCTCCCGCCGGCCCGCAGGGCTCCCGGGTCCGGAGCGGACAGGGCTGCCCGGGTCCGCAGACTGCGGCGAGGGGCGCGCAGCCGTCTCCGCCCGGGCTCTCGGGGCAGCCGGCGGCCGCCGTACCTGCGCTCCTCCACCTCCGCTTCCCTCTCGAGCTCCAGCAGGTCCAACTGCTTCGTCACGAAGCTCTCCACCGCCGCGGCCATGGCCGCCGAGGTCGCGCTTCCGCGCCGGGCCGGAGTCGCCGCGCGACCCCTGTTCCCCGCCGGGCCCGTGCGGCGACGCACGAGGTTCGCGCCGCTTCCGGTTCCGGCCGAGGCTGCGGAAAGATGGCGGCGCCCATGGCGGCATCGGCCCTCACAGGTCACGGTGGGGCGGCTGATGTCCGCGTGCAGCCGTGGCCTCCTGAGACCTTCGGGGCCCGCTGCGGGTGAGGCCAGGGCCACGGGACGAAGGGAGGGAGCGGGGGCGAGCGGTGCTCCCCGGCTGTCACGCCGTGCACGTGTGTGGGTGCAAGGTGGTGCCTTCCGCGTCGGCTTCGCGGTGACCAGGCGCGGGACTTGGAGTCCCGGGAGCCGTCGGTTATGGGTTATGGGAGCCCGGGCTTGAAGCGCTGCGCTCCGGCCGAGGAAAGCGGCGCTAGTGCCCCGTCTCCCGCCTGGAGCGAGGCCGGGCTGTCGGGAGGCCAAGCAGGCGTGTGGCTGGCGATGCGAGGGCCGCCTCACCCGGGCGTGGCAGTGGCCGCTGGCTGGACCTGCGTCTTCCGTAAAAACGTGCCGGCCGGCTCGGCCGAGCGAACAGCGTGTCTTGTGGTCCGCGCCCACAAGTATCACGGGCGTGTCCAGCAAAGCTTGTGTCCGCGCAGAAAGCCGGCCCCGGGGACGCCTGTGCGCCCCAGAGTCTGGAAGCGACCGGCAGGCCGTCCAGCAGGCGAAGGGTTAAGTAAGCAGGTGCATCGGTGCCGCGCTGGCCCTGGAAAGCTGTAGGGACGGGGATCGGGGTTTGGCACAGGCGGCGGGGTGGGCAGCAGGTGGTGGCCACGCGGGAGACCCCGGCTGCTCTCTCCTTGCGCCCCTGCCTTTCGAGTAAAATAAAAACAACAAATCTGTTTATTTAAGAAAAGTGGGCGCCCTAGAAGAAAGGACGCACGTTGTGTGGTTCCCGCTGTGGAACATCCGGGAAAAGGCGAAACATCGGAGACCGGGACCGCGACGGTGGTGCCGGGGAGGGGGAGCCCGAGGGAGGGCCGCGAGAGGAACTCTGGCTTGATGCTGAGGGCGGGCACACCTGGTAACTGTCTAGAATGGCACGGGGGCGGGGTGGGGGCTGTGGCCTCGGTGGTGACAGTGGGGGTGTGCGGGTGATGTGTCCCTGTGTCGGTGTAGGCCAGGCCAGGGGCCCACAGGGGGCACAAGAGCCGAGAGCGGTGTGAAAAGTCCGCACCGAGCTGGGCCCGAGGGGACACGGACGCCGGCGCTCACGTGGGAACGCGTGGACGTAGCGGCGGGAGTTTACACAGAAGCCGTGGGCCTCGGTGCCCTGGGCTGACAGGGTCCACGCAGGGGAGGGGAGCGGATGGGACGTGCAGAGCGGGCGAGGGAGACGGGTGCAGACACAGCCAAGCCTCAGGTGTCTGGGCGACAGAGCAGGTGGGGGCGGACACTTGCAGGACTGAGCTACTTCGCGGCGGCGTGGCTCCGGGTGGGGGCAGAGCCGCCAGTCCTGGGCACCCCCGCAGAGGGTTAGCACAGTGGATCTCGGTCTTCACAGAGCACCTGTTACCTGCCAGACGCGGGGGGAGGAGGGCACAGGCGATAAATACAGAACGGGGGTTCCTGCTGGGAAGCTGGGGCTCTGATGGGGCAGGGGGTGTGCGGAGGGACAGGCAGCTCCCCTCCCTCCCTCGGGGGTCCGTGATGCATTAGAAGACAGGAGGACCTAGGAGAAAGGGCTCGCGGAGACCGGGCGGGCGGGGTCTCCCTGCTGAGAGCGGTGAGTGGAGACCCAGGGGCGGGGAGGGTCAGCGTTGCGGGCCCTGGCCAGGCGAGTGAGTGTGGGTGTCCAGGGGGCCACAGCCAAGTCAAGGCCCGAGGCAGGGGTGCGCCTGGCGGGGCAGGGTAGGGGGTGTGGGCGGGGCATCCGGGAGGGGTCGCCTTGCCCCACCTGTAGCCACTGTGCGGGCGTTGGCTTTTCCCTGAGTGACAGGGCGGCTCCGCAAGGGCAGCAGTGACTGGGCGTGACCTGAGTGACGCCCGTCACGGGCTGCTGTGCAGAGAGCAGGGCCGACAGGTTTGCCCACGCCTCGGCCGAGGGGTGTGAGAGAGGGTCCGTGGTGTCCAGGGGTTGGAGCCTGAGTGTCTGGAGGGATGACGCCGCCCTCGTGTACCGTGAGGAGGACGTGGGAGGGGCCGGGAGCCCGTGTTGGGTTCAGAGTGTCCGTCAGGCGCCCAGGTGGCGACGGCACACGGACAGGTGGCTGTGCAGGTCTGGGAGAGCAGGCCAGGCCAGAGGGGCACACTTGGGATCCGCTCTGTGTGTTTGAGAGCAAGCTCCGCCCACGGGGCCACGCCCCAAATGCCTTCATGACTGGGAGCCTCAGTGCCAGCCGGGTGCCGGGGACCCAGTGCCGCCAGGGTCTGCATTAGAGGAGCCGTGATCTGCGGGCTCAGAGCCGGCTCTCCCAGCGCGGAGGCGAGCGCCTGCCCGGTGCTGAGTGACCACCGGGTGGCAGCAGGCACCAGGCAGAGGTGGAGCCCAGGCCCGCGGCGGGCGAGGAGACGGGACCCAGCCCAGGAGAACCGGGGAGCTCTTGCTTGTGGGGGAAGTCTGGGGGTGAGGTTTACGCTGTGCAAAGTGGAGCCTGCTTTATTTCACGCGAGTGCCATGCTCGCTGAGCCGCGTGCCCTCTGCTCACGCTGCGCGCCGGCTCTGCCTGCTGCGCCCGTCTGGTCAGCTGCAGGCCTCGTGCCTGGCCTGGCGCTGCCCTCTGCCGTGGACACCCCGGAACCTGCAGGCTGGGACGGCGCACATTTCCTTTCTCGTGCCGTTTCTGAGGGTGGGAGTTGGGAGCAGTGGGCCGAGGGCTTCCGGCTCTGGGTCTCGGACGGCAGCGAGGCCGGTCAGCGGAGGCTGCAGTGGTCCCGACTCCACGGGGCCTGGATAATCCACTCGCATGCCTGCCCCCGTGGGTGCCGGCCACACCCCTGGCTCCTCGCCGCGTGGGCCTCTCTGCAGGGCCACTCCCAGCGCTGCAGCCAGAGAGCAGCGTCCGAGACAGAACCTGACCCCAGAAGCCACGCGTGTCACTTCTGCCACGAGCTGTGGGGAGCACAGACCCAGCACCACTGGAATCGCAGGGAGAATCGTCGACCGACTGGGCAACCGCCCACGCTCAGGGCGCGGGGCGCGTCTGGGCCCGGGGGCTGTGAATGAGAGTGGGGGTGACTCACATTAGCAGCGGCGCGGTCTCACTCGTTCTCTGAGACTGCTCACCTGGACCTGCGTGTGGGCGTGTGGTGACGTGGGCCACGGCGGCTGCGGCAGACGCCAGCGGTGCCATTGTGCACTTAGCGCCGTCCCCGCGTGTTTCTCTTGTTCCCACAGCCTGCCTCCGGTCTGCTCCTGGGAGGTTCCGGTCACAGAGCGCTTCGTTTCCACAAGGGTAATGCCGAGCCGAGCCGCGGGGGACTCCTGTGTTGGGGCGGGCACGCACCTGGGACCCCACAGCCCATTAACCAGCGCCTGGGCCCGCTCCCAGCTCCGTTCCTGACCCCAGCTCGCAGAGGCCTCGGGTCCCTGACACTCCTGTGAGAGACCCCACTGGGTCCTGGGCTCCTGGCTTTGACCCGGCCCAGCCCCAGCTGTTAGACGCATTAGGGGAGGGGGCCGGCAGATGGGCAGTCTCCCTCCCTCCCTCCCTCTCTCTCTCTCTCTCTCCCTTTCTCTCTCTCTCTTTCTCTCTCCATATATATTCTACGTATATGTGTATATATACTACTGTATATATAAAACCTTTCAAATAAAATGAAAATAAATAAATGCGGAAGTCCCCAGGAGGAACTGCCCGATTCTGAAAAGGCGCATCCAAGGGTTAATCGTGTGCTTAGGAAAAACCGTCACGGGATGGAGAACTGCACCAGGCCTTCTGCCGGGTTCGTCCGCGCCTGGTGACTGAGTGCCGGCCTGACTGCCCAGTTTGTTTAGACGCTGCGCTTCAGAGTGCACCCAGTGCCAGAGTTCTCTGGGTTCTTCCCATCTTGGAAGCCCCCTCCATGCCTCTCTGGCTGGAGGACTTTGACTCTAATGAATCTTTTTAGACCCCCCCCCCCAAAAAAAGAAAAGAAACAAGCAGAGCGGACGGTAACCCTGCGTGGCCTTTGAAGGCCACTGCTTTGTTCCCGAATTCTCAGAGACTTGGGGCAGAGCTGGGGTCACACACACGGCTGCCTGGCGCCCTCTGCCCAGGTGTGAGGGAAGCGTGTGCCCACCTGAGTGGGGCTGCAGGGGGAAGGGCGGGGGGAGCCGGCCCGGTGGAGCCCGGTTGAGCGAGGGCTGATAGCAGCTGCTTCCAGCGGCCTTGATGCCCAGGAGGCCGTGTGCAGGGAGAAGCGCCCGCCCTCATCCGTGTGGTCCTGCGTGGTGGGGAGAGCGCCGGGAAGCGCCCTGCCCTCCGGGCCGCAGTCTGGGTTGTTGGAGGCTTGGCACACACGGCGGCTGGCTGGGGGCTGTGCGGGAGCGGCCGTGGTGCACCTGGGGTCCCGTGACGTGGCAGGCCTGCACACTCACGCACGCGGCCTGCAGGGCCTGCGGCCGTGGCTCGCGGCCCTGCCCTGCCCAGCCATTGCTTCAGGATTTTGAGCGTACGTGCTTATAGCCACGTACGTGAATGTTCTCACAGCTACGTCCCCCGAACGTCGCTGAGCTCGCCGCCCTGGCCCGTGGTTGCCCTGCCGGACCCCACTGAGGAGACCAGACACCACACAGGTAGACGGCACCGCCTCCCCGGGGCGGGCCTGACCGGCAGAGCAAGGGTTTCCCGGGGCTGGGTGCAGGGGTGACAGCTCAGGTTCGCTCTTGCCATGAGCACCTGGGTGCTGCTGGCAGGGAGTGGGAGGGAGGGAGGGGCCCTGGCCGGCTGCTGTGGGTGGACAGACACGTGGGCTCAGGGACAGAGTCTTCCTGGGTCGGAAGAGCGGGGGTGGGCTGGCCGCTACCCCCGGCCCTGCTGCTCCGTCCGTGCCTGCCCCCACCCGCTTTCCCCGTAGAGGTCGTGGCGGCGGTGAACGAGCTGATCGCCCGGGGCCAGCACGGCCGGCTCTTTGCCGTGGTGCACTTTGCCGGCCACCAGTGGAAGGTGACCTCCGAAGACCTGATTCTGATCGAGCACGAGCTGGACGCCGCATGCGGGGAGAGGATCCGGCTGGAGAAGGTGAGGCTCGCGGCTCTGCCGTCCCCACGCAGCGGATCCGGCTGGGGAAGGTGAGGCTCGCGGCTCTGCCGTCCCCACGCAGCGGATCCGGCTGGGGAAGGTGAGGCTCGCGGCTCTGCCGTCCCCACGCAGCGGATCCGGCTGGGGAAGGTGAGGCTCGCGGCTCTGCCGTCCCCACGCAGCGGATCCGGCTGGGGAAGGTGAGGCTCGCGGCTCTGCCGTCCCCACGCAGCGGCTGCTCCCCGCCCGGCCGGTCAGGCCCCAGGCCAAGGGGCGCAGCCGCAGCAGGGCGCCGGCCGGGCCGGGCCTCGGCTGCTCTTTCTGGCTGTGCCTCCCACTCTCCTCACTGCAGCGGATGTAGAAATCCCGCCGAGGGCGTGAGGCGCGGGAGTGCCACGGCCGCTCTGTCCCGAGCCGTGGGGACGGGGTCAGGCGCGTCTCCCCGGGCCGGCTCCCTGTGCTTGGCCACTCAGCAGGGTGTGCACCCTGTCCAGGGAGGGTCTGGCTGCCGTGTCCGGGGAGCGTGTGGGACGTTCACCTGCGGATTCGCAGTGGGCACTGTGCGGATCGCATGGCCAGGGTGCGGTCAGCACTCATTCAAGCTCCCCCGCCTCTGCGCCCGGCCCTGGGCGCGAGCTCAGCTGCCCAGCCCGGAGCTGGGCTCACCGGCCACGTCCAGCAGCCCCGGGCGAGGCTTTCTGCCCCTAACGGGTGCAGCGGCTCTGCGGGGGCTTGGGAGCGGGAGCGTGTGCGGCTCACCATCGAAGATGCGCTCCACGGCGGGAGTGGGCGCCTGAACGTTTCTTCTTAAGATTTATTTATTTATTTATTTATTTGAAATGCAGTTACAGACAGAGAGAGATGGAGAGAGAGAGAGAGGTCTTCCATCCGCTGGTTCTCTCCCCAATTGGCTGCAGTGGCCGGAGCTGAGCCATCTGAAGCCAGGAGCCAGCAGCTTCTTCTGGGTCTCCCACGCGGGTGCAGGGGCCCAAGCACTTGGCCATCTTCCACTGCTTTCCCAGGCCACAGCAGAGAGCTGGACCGAAAGTAGAGCAGCCGGGACTCTAACCAGCTGCCCATATGGGATGCGGGCACCACAGGCAGAGGCTTAGCCTACTCGGCCACAGCGCTGGCCCCTTGTCAGCATTGTCTTACTGGACATTATTTTGAAACGTTTTACAGTGCACACCAAAGCCCCACCTCAGTTCACTTTTCCTAACTGGAAATGCGGAAGTGGGGGCCTGCCGTGCTGACACCGTTGTGACGGTCTGTCGTCGTCTCGTGGACGTTGTCCGTCGCCGTTGCTACGTGCTCTGATATGTAGGTTTGCCCCCGCATCTATGAGTACCACTGCCCTTGGAACACGCCGTCTCCCGTGGCCGCCCAGGGCCGCAGGTTCCCCCACCCGAGAGTGGCTGCCTGCCCCGGGAGCAGCGCCGCTGCCTCGCAATGTTGGGCTGCCACACGGGAGCCGCGGCTGAGGCTCGTCTGCACGCCTGGCCTCGCAGCTGGGATGCCTGTGCCCCGCGTCTGGGACCTGAGTTCGATGCCCAGCTCTGGCTTCTGACCCCACTTCCGCTGTCCTACAGCCTGGAGGCAGTGGGTGGTGACTCGGAAGGTTGGGTGCCTGTCACCCGTGTGGGAGACCCAGATTCAGCGGGGAACTCCACCTGGCTTCGGCCTGGCTGGGGGCCCGCACTGTGGGCTTTGGGAGTGAACCAGCAGACAGGAGCTCGGTGTGTGTGTGCGTGTATCTCTCTTTCAGTCTGTCTCTCTGTCTCTCTGCCTCTTTTTTTTTTTTTTTTTTTTGACAGGCAGAGTGGACAGTGAGAGAGAGAGACAGAGAGAAAGGTCTTCCTTTGCCGTTGGTTCACCCCACAATGGCCACCGCGGCCGGCGCACCGTGCTGATCCGATGGCAGGAGCCAGGTGCTTCTCCTGGTCTCCCATGGGGTGCAGGGCCCAAGCACTTGGGCCATCCTCCACTGCACTCCCGGGCCACAGCAGAGAGCTGGCCTGGAAGAGGGGCAACCGGGACAGAATCCGGCGCCCCAACTGGGACTAGAACCCAGTGTGCCGGCGCCGCAAGGCGGAGGATTAGCCTAGTGAGCCGCGGCGCCGGCCCTCTCTGCCTCTTAAAGGGCGTTTGGCACCACCGTGAAGTCTGCTGGGACGCCCGCGTCGCCTCTCAGAGGCCCTTGGCATCTGTCCTGGCTCCACTCTTCTGATAAAACATCCCGCCGGGGACCGCCGAGGACGGCCCAAGTGCCTGTGTCTCTGCCGTCTGTGTGGGAGACCCAGGGGGAGTTCCCAGCCCTGTGCGATTTAGCCTCGGCTGTTGGAGGCGTCTGGGGCGTGAACCAGCGGAGGGAAGCTGTCTCCCCTCCCTCTCTCCCTCCCTCCCTTCCCCTTTCACATCTTTTTTTAAGAAGCCCCCAGTGTGTGTAGGAGGTTGCCGAGGTTACATCTCCTGCCGCTGACACCATGGGGCATTGGCTGAGCCGGCCTGTGCTGTGGGCTGAGCGGGCCTGTGTTGCCGGCCCACACCCCACTCGCCGGCTGTGAGGGGTCACTACACCAATGTGTTATACCCTGCTCGCTGGCTGTGAGCCGTCCTCACACTGGCAAGTGTATCACCCACTCACCACCTGTGAGCCGTCATCATACCGATGTGCGTTACACCCGCTCGCCAGCTGTGAGGGGTCATCACACCAGTGTGTGTTACAGCCGCTCGCCAGCTGTGAGGGGTCATCACACCAGTGCATTTTACACCCGCTTACCTGCTGTGAGCCGTCATCACACTGATGTGCGTTACACCCGCTCGCCGGCTGTGAGCGGTCCTCACACTGACAGGTGTATCACCCGCTTACCAGCTGTGAGCCGTCATCACACCGATGCGCGTTACACCCGCTCACCGGCTGTGAGCGGTCCTCACACTGACAGGTGTATCACGCACTCACCACCTGTGAGCGGTCATCACACCGGTGCGTGTTACACCTGCTCACCAGGGTGAGCCGTCATCACGCCGTGTGCATTGCCGCTGCCTCCGTGGCAGCTGCCGCCGTCCTCCTGGGACTGCCTGGTGACGAGTCGCTGATGAAATGCGCCTGTTCACTTTTTTCAGGTCCTGCTGGTTGGGGCAGACGGCTTCACGCTGCTCGGCAGGCCACTCCTGGGGTAAGGCGCTGCCCGGGGCCGGGCCGTGCGGGCTGAGGACCTGGAGCAGTTAGGCCGGGCGGGGACATCGCTGTCGGCGCGGCACCGGCACGGGGTGGGCGGGTAGCATCGCGTGAGGAGAAGGCCCGCCCCAGTCACTGACCCGGGACTCGCCCATCGCTCACTCCACGCTTTGTCAGGCTTTTGTGTGGCTTCCGGAATGTTCCCAGCGAGGGCAGCTGCTTCTGCGTCAGAGGAGAACAGGGCGCGACCTCCCCTGGGAGTCCTCAGCAAAGGCGTCGGGGCCACGGAGGGGCCGTCCCCGGATCCGCCAGTGTGGACGGAGGGGCTGTCCCCCGGATCCGCCAGTGTGGACGGAGGGGCCGTCCCCGGATCCGCCAGTGTGGACGGAGGGGCCGTCCGCGGGATCCTTCAGTGTGTGGATGGAGGGGCCGTCCCCCGGATCCTTCAGTGTGTGGATGGAGGGGCCGTCCCCCGGATCCGTCAGTGTGTGGACGGAGGGGCCGTCCCCGGATCCGCCAGTGTGGACGGAGGGGCCGTCCCCGGATCCGCCAGTGTGGACGGAGGGGCCGTCCGCCAGATCCGCCAGTGTGGACGGAGGGGCCGTCCGCGGGATCCTTCACTGTGTGGATAGAGGGGCCGTCCGCGGGATCCGTCAGTGTGGATGGAGGGGCCGTCCCCGGTTCCGCCAGTGTGGACGGAGGGGCCGTCCGCGGGATCCTTCAGTGTGGACAGAGGGGCCGTCCGCGGGATCCGTCAGTGTGTGGACGGAGGGGCCGTCCGCGGGATCCTTCAGTGTGTGGACGGAGGGGCCGTCCGCGGGATCCTTCAGTGTGGACGGAGGGGCCGTCCGCGGGATCCGTCAGTGTGTGTTTTCTTCTAGAAAGGACCTCGTCCGAGTGGAAGCCACGGTCATTGAAAAGACAGAGTCGTGGCCAAAAATCAACATGAAGTTTAGGAAAAGGAAAAACTTCAAGAAGAAAAAAAGTAAGTTTGAGCAAGTGTGGCCGGCGCCCGCACTCCCGTGCCCTGGCCGTTGGGCCCGTGTCCTGCTGCCAGGTGGCTGAGAGCGGGGTGCAGCCGGCGCCAGGCCGGGGGTGGAGGGTGAGGCCCCCGGGAGTCGCCGCAGGAAGTGCGGACTTCCACCTGCCTGGTGACGCCCACACGGCCAGCAGGAGCGGGGACGCGGGTCAGCTGTGCCCCTCAGCACGGGCGTGCGCGGCCTGGGGTGCCGGGGGGCGGGGCCTCTTGGGAAGCTCTGCGTGGCGGTGAGCAAGGCCGCACTGTGCTGGGTACCGTACAGTGCTTCTCGTGCCTCATGTGGCCTACGGAGGGCAGAATGGGTACAGAACCCACGGCCGCAGCCCCCTCTGGAGGGGTGCGGGGCCGCGAGAAGGGGCCGAGAAACCCGGAGGGACGCACGGGTCTTGGGTGCAGGTTAACTGGTGAGGTCAGAGCAGGAGGGCCGGAGCAGCTGAGCCCACGGCAGGAGGGTGTGGGAGGGCAGCAGCCCCAGGACCTGAGGGTGGAGCCGAGCCGCAGGGGCGGGTTCACAGGACCCCAGCTTCCCCTACGGACCCCCCCCCCCACGGAGAACACAGCAGAGGGCAGCTGTGGGCAGGTGGGCGGTGGGTCAGCAGCAAGCGGCCAGGACAGCGGTGCCTGCAGTGAGGACGGGGACAGGCGCTGGTGCCCGGGGCACGTGGGTTCCCCTTTGTGCTCCGAGGAGCAGGTGCACCCAGACGTCGGGGCCATGGGAGGAATCCCGGCAGCTCTCAGCCTGGCCAGTGCTGCCCACGTCCCGCTCTCCCGTCCCAGGGAGCGCCACCCAGGCCCCCCCAACGCCTCCCCTGCCCGCCGCGCCCTGCTCGGTTCAGTCGCGGGGCTGGCACCGCCTCAGCCCTTACGCCACGAACAGCTCCAAGGCTGGCCCTGGAGGAGCCCCTGGGAGGCACAGGCCCCGCGAGGTGGGCACCTCCAGGACCGGAGCCGCCCGGGCTCAGGCCACGCAGGCCGGGGAGTGGCCGGTGGCCGGCCGCACAGTGCCGCCTGGCACAGAGCCCCTGCCGTGCCTTCTGGGGAGTGGGCCAGCCCCGCCCGCCGGCCAGGAGGATGGAGGGAGAGGGGCTCTGCTGGCCTCCAGGCCTCTGGCGCTGCCGTCTCTGCTGAGCGAGCGAGCGAGCGAGGTGTGGCAGACACCGCGGAGCACCAGTGCTGCGCAGGACACGGGGCTGCGTGCCGGGGCAGAGCCGGAGCCGTGGGCGGGCCGCGGGCGGATGCCGTGCTGAAGCGCGTGGCGACTTGTCTCTCGCAGTCACCGTGAGCCCACAGACCGTGCTCCGGATAAACACCGTGGAGGTCGCGCCGCGCCTGCTGTGATGGCTGAGCCGACGTCCGTCCGCCGCAGGGTGACAATAAACCTGTTGGGCAAGACACCAGGCTCCCGTGTTCACATCTGGAGCCGGGTGAGCGTGTCAGGGACACGGGCACAGGCGGGACTCCTGGGCGCCCTCTGCGCTGGCGTCAGCGAGGCCCCTGGGACAAGGACAAGCGCGGGCGCCTGTGTGTGAGGCTTCCCTTGGGGTGCAGCCTGGCGGGGGTCACCTTGGGCAACCAGGAGGACTGGGCGGGCCCAGGGCCTGGACGGAGGAGGCTGGGGGTGCAGAGGTCCTGGAGACGAGCCGGGCGGCAGCAGGGAGGGAGCTGGGCCCCGGAAGGGCGCGGGCTCCTCAGGTCCGTTTTGGGGTGCACCAGGCAGGCGTGGGGGAGGTGCCTCGGGAAGCTACACAGCATGAGAAGGGACAAGGTCCTGGGCCCAGGGCGGCCCCGGGAGCCTGCAGCGGAGAGGCAGGGCCTGGGGTGCAGAGGTTCCCCCAGGAGAGGGGTCGGGGCTTTCCGTGAGACGGCTGCAGCCTGTGACGAAAGTGAGCCTGGTATTTTCCCTGGGCCCTGGGAGTGAGGAAGCGACCCCTCCCCGGGGCCCCCAAGTCAGTGCCCTCGCCCCTGCAGTGACCCCTGCGAGCAGCAGGGGGCAGCAGCCCCGCAGGCTCCCCCTCGCCTGCAGCCTGGTCCTCAGAGCGGGGAGCGTGGCCCACAGTCCCGAGGTTCTGCTTTGTAGATGCAGGCCTGGCTGGCTGCGTCTCCAGTCTGTGTCTGCACCCGGGGCCGTCTCTGGGCCTGTCTCTGCCAGCCCCGGCGCTGTCTCCCAGCGTCATCGTCCCCCGTGTCGGTCGTAGCCCATCCGCACTCCAGTGGCTTGCTCACGTCCGTCTTCCACGCTCTGCTTGCGCCAGAACAGACCGGGAAGCTTTGCTGCAGCCGGGCCTTTCAGCCTGGGGCCGGGGGCGGGGTCCTGGAGCCACTGCGCTGTGGTGCTGGGCCTCTGAGCTGGCTTCTGTGCTGCCTGCCCCGTGGGGGCACGGGGAGGGGCTCCCCACAGCCGGCAGGCCCCACGTGGCACAGGCATGGTCAGGATTCGCAGTGGGCGTGGCCTGGAAGAGACGGAGCCAGCACGACCTGCCGCTCACGGGTCCGGGTTAACTCCTAAAAACCCTGCTTCAAGCACCGAGCGATCCAGCAATTCCATGACCGGCACACCCCAAGGAACTGGCTCTGGGGGAGAGCCTTGTGCCCCACGCGCATAGCGGCCTTGTCCATGTGACTAAAGCCTGGAACAGCCTGAGTGTCCGTCCACAGTGCGGTGGCAGGCGGTGGGAGTGGTCAGCCTTGAAGACGGGGAGATTGCCACTCGTGCTCCCCTGCATTGCGTGAGCGACCTGCAGGTCGTGTGCCAGGTGGAGAGGCGACTCCTGGGGCCCGCGTGGGGCCGCCGGGCAAGCTGCCTCCTGGGTGCACAGGTGCCTGCAGCGAGGCCTGCGCCTGGGTGCCTGTGTCCCTGCCACCTGGGTGTCCGCGTCCCTCAGCGAGGCCTGCGCCTGGGCGCCCGTGTCCCTGCCGCCTGGGTGCCCGTGTCCCTCAGCGAGGCCTGCGCCTGGGTGCCCGCGTCCCTGCCATCTGGGTGCCCGTGTCCCTGCCGCCTGGGCACCCGCGTCCCGCAGTGAGGCCCGGCTTCTCCACTTTCTATCCAGCTCCCCGCTGATGTGGCTGCGAGGCAATGAATGGTGGCCCCAGTGCTGAGTCCCTGGCGCTCGGAGCTCCCAGCCCGGCCCTGGCTGGTGCAGGCATGCCGGGAGTGAGCCGGCAGGAGTCAGTGTTGGGCGGGGACAGAGTTCCAGTGTGGGAGGTGGCGACTGCCCAGCCCTGTGTGTGCCCGATTTGCTGACCTGTGCACTTAGAGTGGTAACATGGTAACTTTTGCCACAGTTTTTTATTTTTATGAACTCGATTAATGAGTTACAGCTGACTGAAAAACAGCACGTGCAGATCCGTCACCATCTCCCGGAGTGCAGGCGCCCCTGCCGCCCCCACTGCACAGCCTGCCGGCCCTGGCACGGCTCCCATGGCTCCTCTGCTCTGTGGCCACGTGGGCCTTACCCAGAGGCACCTGCTGGCGTCCCCTCCTGCAAACAGCCACCTCGACCCCGCCAGCTCCCGCGGCTCTGTGGCCGCCCTTTGCTCTCTCACCTCCTGGCCGCTCTGAACTGTGGGGGCCAGGGATGGGCCAAGAGGTCACCCCTAAACCTCCCCGCTGGGGCAGAGGGGGTGAGGCACAGAGGAAAACGTGCGGGAGCCCCACGGCCAAGCCCCAGGCTCTCGGGCCCCTGCCGCCGCCCAGCCAGCACCCTTCCCACAGCCATCAGTGGGAGGTGATTCCGGAACCTTCCTCAGAGCTCATGGCACTGGTAAAACGGTGCCCGGCAGCGTTAATTCCGGAGCCAGCCTCCGTGTGTGGACCCTGTCCGTGGATTCAGCCACTGTGGGTAGGAAACCTCTGTGGATAGGTGAACGCGGGAGTCTTCCCTCGTCACTCCCTGAACCGCAGCCTCGCAGCTTGTACCTGGCTCCTGTGTCGGGGCGTCAGTCACCAGGGCTGGCTGAGGGCACACGGGGACGTCCGTGGGTTCCGTGCACGTTCGGGGATCCCGGGGGGTCCTGGATCCAATCCCCTGTGGATTCCGAGGAGCGACTGGTCCCCAGCCCTGCGACTTCCCACCTCTCCGGGCTCTGTCCCTTGGCCCTGGTGTCCCCTGTCCTAACGCCCCCCCTGGGCTCCTACTGGCTGCTGGAGTCAGCCGTGGCCTCCCTGCCGAGGGCCTCCCAGGGGCAGGGGAGCCCCTGCCGCGCATGTCACCCACGGCGGTTCCTGCCGCTTTGGGGCCGTGTGAGCTTGGGCAGGGCCTGCCTGCGGCTTCCTCTTTGGTAACGTGAGGTGCCAGCAGGACCCTGGTTAGTGCTAGGCTTGCTAGATACGTGCTCCTGGAGAAAGCCGCGAAAGTAACCGCCTGCACCGTCCCGCCTCGGCGGGTCCCTCCGCGTCTCATCTGCCCTGTGCGCTGCCAGCTCCCAGGGGGCATCCTTCTGCATCGCTGGCTGACAGTGGACACTGCACCCGCGACCTCACCAAGCGTGCAGAGGGCACTCGGGGAATGGCTCTCAGAGGACCCCTGACTCCACGCAGCTGGGGGGCCCAGGGGTGCAGAGCCTCCTTCGGGGAGGCACAGGGGTCTGCGGGCCTCAGGCCGCACCTGGCTGGTGTCAGGTGAGTTTTCCAGGGGCAGAGGTAGCTGGTCGCAGGCCCAGTGAGGGACGGGCAGTCAGGACCCGGCCCCCAGCCTCCCCGGGCCGCACCCCACTTCCTGCCGCAGCCTGCAGAGATAAAGAGAGCACCCTTGGAAGGCTGGGTGCCCGTTGACTCACTTCCTGGACAGACACCTCGCCCCGTGACCGTGAGCTCAGGGCCCAGGCTGCCCAGGGCTCCCTAGGAGGTGCCCTCTGCTTGCAGGCGCTCCCCCTGCTGATGGCCACCGCAAACACACCGGTGGTCTCTGGGCAGCCCAGCCAAGGGTCTGAAGCCCTGATGGACGGGACACAGGTGTCAGGGGCTTGCCCTCTACCCAGGCTGGCCATAAACGGGCAGGGCTGGCAGCGCCCTTATGAGATCGGAAGCCACAGCTGGGGACAAAGGTCACTTGGAGGAGGGCTGGCTGGGAAGTAGAAGTGCGCTGTGTGGGTGCTGTCACCAAAGAGGAAACAGGAAGCAGTGGGAGACTCACCCCCCACCCGCTGGGGCCGGGGCGGGCGGGCTCCGCCTCCAGTGTTTGCCGAGCCCGTCCTGTGGGCAGGGCACTGGGCACGCACAGCAAACACGCTAATCCTCAGAACCAGCCCAGGCTCCACTCCCACGAGCACACGGAGGTCCGGCCGGTGCCACCCCGTTGCCTTCCCCGGGGCGAGCCCTAAGTCTGCAGGGCTCTCCCCAGGAACTCACCAAGACCTGGCGCGGGAACCAGGGGCCCGCATCCCACACCACAGGGCCTGGCTCGGGTTCCGGCTAATGCGGACGCTGGGAGGCCTGGCGGTGGCTCGAGCACTCGGCTTCCAGCTCCCCAGGGAGACCTGGGTGAGCTCCAAGCTCCGGCTTCAACCTGGCCCAGCCCATGCTGCTGCAGGCATTCGGGGCGTGAACCAGGGGGTGGGATAGGAGAGCGCTCTCTCTCCCACTGTTAAATCAATCAATTGAAAGACAGCAGTGGCGCAGGCCAGGTCACTGTGGTGCAAAACGACACAGACTGGGTCTTCGGCCCCAGTCCTGCACCCTGCGGATTCCCTGACTGACAGGAGGGTCTCTGTCACTCGTAAGGGGCCCCTCTGGGTCACACTGAGTTTATGCTGGTGACACGGCTTAGGGTGAGCCCACCGCCTTAGTCTCAGGTTGGGGCCCCTCACCAGAAAGTCCCACCACCGGCCTGCAGGAGGGCCAGGCTGGCGACCAAGCTCCTGGGGGCTCCAGAGGGTTTCAGAGCACGAGATTTGATGAGCAGAACAGGTGTGGGGAGGGCATTCCGGAAGAATCCCTGGCAATCCACTGTGTGTTCTGTGGGCCCAGGGGACTTGGGACAGGCCCCGGGGTGTCCTCCGAGCCCATGGAGCTCCCCCAAGAAGCACTCACTCCTCCCTAGGAGTGGTCTGCCCTCCCCACTCGACCGGGGGGTGCACACCTGCTAACTCCCGGGAGGGGTGATTTCAACATGCAAGTGCGGCACACACAGCAGTTCGTGTGTTTCCTCTCTTGCAGCAGGGCCGAGGGGGGCCTGGCCCGCGTTCCTACGCTGCCAGCACCAAACCCCGACAGACCAACGGGAGCCCGGCACTGACGGGCACCCAAGGCGGCACTTCCCGCAGTTCAGAGACTCACCTCGCGCTCTCGCCCTGCCTCTCCAATAAATAGGTCCTCAAGTAGCTGGGCCCTGCCACCCACGTGGGAGACTTGGAGTGGGGCCGGGGCTGTGACATAGCAGCGTAAGCCATGCCTG